CTCCAGGACTATTTAATTTTAACACATAATTATACATGCAATGTTACAGTAGAGGCCCCCGTTTTAACCAGGCTCTCGAAGTTCGAATATATAATTATTTAATGTCAAGCTTTAGAGATGCGTTAACGAGGTCAAGGTAACGAAGTGTAATTACGGAGAACAACCCTTAAACAAACTGAGAAATTCTAACTAACGCAACGAACATATTCATAGCTTTTTATTATGTTTTTTAAATATATAATATTTCGAAAACAGAATATAATGTGTCTCTGAATAAATAGCGCATAGCTGGGAAAAGAAGGTATTTCTGTGACATTATTATAAATATCTTTATGTATTTTTGAATCAAAGGAAATTGAATTATTATAGAAAATAATTTATGTACTGACTTTCCGTTCACGTTGTATATATTATTTGACATTGACATTTGTATTATTCGACATTGGAATTAATACTAGTTAATGTACTGACTTTCGAGGAAAACGCTGGCTAGTAATAGCGTGATAGGATTTTTGTGATAGAACGTTTCTTTCTATTTTTTCGTCCACAATAAGGAGCAAATCCTGCAGCAAAATCTGAGTTTTTCTTCAAACGTTCGCCGTTTAGTTATATTTAAAAATTTTCAAAATCCCCTACGTCGTGCCATAGCCAAGAGCATCTAATTTCTAAAACTTTTTGCGTTTTCGTTTGTAGATCAACCATTTCCCCCGGAAAATTGTCAACTAGTCCACGAATATTTTTTTACAGCCCTAACTTTGGGTTCTTTTAAATCCTATAAATTGCTACAAATTAAGTAAACAAAAATATTTTCTTAAAACATACGTGTTGAATAAAAACCCATGCAAATCTAATAACGTTTTATTAAGTAGTTTTCTTTGAATAAATTACCAAAGATACCTTTACTTTTCGGGTCGTTACACTGTTGTCCCCTGTTAAGGGTTTGTGCGTTAAAGGGTTAAGCGAAAGGAAAGAAACGAAAAACTGCGATTTACCAGATTGTTCATGGCAGGATCGCTAGTTGCTGCCGGCAGTTCGGATGTGGCGACGGCAATCGTTCGCGGGACCTTTTTTCACCACTCGATATTTATCCTATTCCCAGTAGCAAAATTGCCGTGTCCCCGTGCCAACGAGACCACGGAAATTAAAGATCGACCTCTCACGTCAATTTGAACGCGTATTCGCCAGTTCGAAACCTGTGTTCGCGATCGGAGAACACATCCTACGACGTATTTCGCGGGGAAAATGGTAACGTCATTTTTTCGACGATTCGGGACCACGACAGGATGGGAACAGTTTTATAGGGCCATGGATCATTATCAAGGATTCTGGAGAACAGAGGTTAAGGCCAATGTTTGTGTTTTGTTTTTGTTTGCCAATTTTTGTAGACTTTGACCGTATTTTGCTCCTATCATATCCACGGTCATTGTGCCCAAAAACAAGAAATTGTGACTGCTTTGACTAAGTAAGTTACTTGGCCCATCACAGATTATTCTTTTAACTCTTTAGAGTTAGGTGGGTTAAAAACTGTCCCACCTTTTGCTCAGCTTTTTATGCATAGTGGGATATATTTTAACGCACCTCGAAAAGTTGAAGTTACTCATAGTCATACAGTTTAAAAAATTCCGTGCAACTAGGGTTTTTATTTTCTTTAAAATCGTTTGCCTCAAAGAGTTAATTCGTATCCTCATAAACAAACTGTTTCCGCTAGGGGAAAAAGTGGCGTAGGAGAAGTGCCACTTACTACCACTTTCTATCGGGAATTACTGAAATTTATATCAAATTAATATTCGATTTAACCTTTATTTCAATAATTGAATTAAATTTACCAAGTAGTAGGAGACCCTTTTCCTACGCCACTTTTGCTCCTAGCGGAAGCCGAGTTTGCACGTCGGTGTACGACTCAAACAAAGATGATTGCCACGATTTATCATTTATAATCCGACTAACCTGACAAACTTGGCCCTCATGGACCACACATAAATTCTGAACATCTAAATACGAGAAAACGTAATTTACTTTCGTTTTCGAGCAATTGCTTTGACAATTAAGTTTTAAGCTTGAAAATTCTTCTAATTCATATAACCCAAATAAAGATGGTTGACCACGCTCTATAATTTCCAGACAGTTCTACGGTTAAATTATATTCTAGGAACAAATGCAAGCAAGTACTTGCATTGCAAAAATAAAAAGTATTTGTACTTTCGAGCATTACTGCACGTAAAAGCCGTTGTCTATCGATAACTATGATCCCCAGTGAGATGATCAAAGGTTCTACTCACCGTTCCAGCGTAGCAATTTCCGACATCGCTCCTTCCTCCTCCACCAGGCCAACGAGGGCTTTGTCCTCTCTTTTTTGCGGTTCTCCGCTCGGCTCCGACTTTTACCCGTTGACAAGAAGCTCCGAAAAATCGTTCGCCTTGTATCGGGATGCCGTAATCCGAGAAAGCCGACGGGTGGGACGGATCGAGTGAAAGGAAACGACGATTTAAGGTCCCGTTAGAGGCTAACATAACGAATAGTCGTGAGAGTGAACAGTTTATTCGCAGGGATTCGAGCCCTGTTCTCGTACATTTCCCGATCGGACATAAGACTTTGGTCGATCGTCGTGCAATACATTGTATCACGATCGATCGCACGTGACTCCAGCGTTTATCAAACTATGCATTACTGCTAAATAAACCTTTCAAAAAATAATATTACAAACTACGAAAGCAACGATGTACATCAATGTCATCAAAGTTGTTGAATAAAATCTGCCACTCCGCTGTTTGTCGAGTAATAAATCGGTTGCCACAGATCGGATCGTTCGAGCTCATCTATCGTTTATTTTATAAAAATATACATCTGCACGATTCTCTTCTCGTTTACGTTAACTCTTATAACTTAATACTTGCACCTGTTTCTCGTACACCGTTCGAGTTAATTAACACTTTGGCAACTGGGAAGACAGATCTACCATTTATCTGTGCATTGAATAATCGAATAGAAAAACTTAGTATTATTTTAGTATTTTCTATGTTGATGTTAATTAATGTGGGGGTAATTGATAGAAAAATGAAGAATTTGTGATCAAGTTAAAAATATAATTTTAGGGCTCGTGAGTGTTCGTTCATGGTGGAAGTTATTTGATCTTAATACTCTTGTCGGTTGCTGAAGTGTTAAGTATAAAGCGGTTTAAGGTACACAATTCCATTCAATATTGAGCATACTGTAGCGTACGTACGTGTTCTAGAGGAAATAATGCGCGGGCTCAAGTGTAGGCGCTCCGCGGTCGAGTAGAGACCAAGTGAATAAGCGTTCCAAGGTCAATGCCTCCCCACCCTTAACTGCTAATGTTATTCGTCGACGAAGTAATAGGCGAATACAAAAGATCCGGTTAGAAGTAAAAAATACACCTACATTTGTGTTGATGTGCCTATCGAGTTTTAATATTACCCAGAAAATCTTCATTTGTAATCCTCAACAATTTTGAAATGTTTATCGAAGTTTGCTTCATATTCAAATAAGCGTCTGAATATTAGTTTAGCGCAATAGATCTCACCGTTAAGAAAATCTATTAGGACAACAATTTAATGTTAAAAAAACAAACAGAATTCTGCGTTATACAGGGTGTAACAAAAGTGTTGTAGGTCCCCGAAATGGGTCACTCGTGAGGTGATTTGGAGAAAGTTTTGCCTTACCAAAAATGTTATCCGAAACTTTGTTAACGAGATATTAACGAAAAAACCCGACCAATCAGAGCGCGAGTCTGCCGGCAGAACTCTGATTCGTCGGGGTTTTTTCGTTAATATCTCATTAACAAAGTCTCTGATAATACTTTTGCTAAGGAATAATTTGCTTTAAATCACTTCATGAGTGACCTATTTCAGGGACCCACAACACTTTGGTTATTCATGTTGATATATTCAGAAAATGCATTTTATTTGTCACTGTAAGTTTTGTATTTGAACAAGGGAGTGTTTTACAGAAGGAAAATGATAATTGCAGTTATTTATTAAAAATGAAGTCATGTAAGTCGTAAATATTGAACTTTCGTAATATTATATTTAACCAATATTTAATCAAATGTAATTAAAAATATTTATAAAGAATAACAGAAAAAATATGGGTATTAAATATAAATACACTAAGTATTTCTTAGGAAATTAGAAACAAGTGGTGTCTGACCACCTACAATCCCATTCTACTGAAAGTGTAATTCAACGTTATCTAACAAATATTTTATAACTTACGTGAACTTACTTAATTAAATGTTTCTTTTATACCATATTTCAATCCCCTCATTAGAGCTCCTTATAGTTCTAGATATTGTACCTAATATAAGAATCAATTGGGAACTTCTGTACACTGTTGTATAATAAAGGTACTTTACACATAGTTATATTAGTATGGAATAAATAGCATGACCTATCGAGTTAATTGTATCAAACATTATCCAAATGTGTTCATAAATGTATCAAAATTGATCTATAGGCAGATTAACACAAAAAAAAAACGCGGAAAATGTAGACCTTTCCACTTTTGAAAATAAAGACCCGTTTCCAAGTGCCTTCATTGACCTCATTCAAAGACATTAACATGAAAATTTGAACAGACAGATAATAAACATTGCTTTTACAAGCGGCTATGGTACTTCAGCCGAAGGAATTTGTTGTACTATATGCTATACTACTGATATTACTTACGCTCTATTTAAACCCAGAATTAAATTAAAGAAAAAACTATACAGTAAATTCTCGATGAGTGTTCGAAGGCTCTCTGGTGAGGTCCCTAGATGTAACGTTGGTGTTTTTAGAAGCCAATTCGGATTAAATTCGATTCTGATTCATTTCTAAAGCCAATGATATTTGTTTCAGCCGCATATGGCCATTTGTTTAGGAAATATTTAATGTTCAGTGCCGAGAAGCCTTCGAACAGGATTTACTGTAGTGTGATACAATACTCATAAACGGGAACTAACATGTCAACAGCTTAAATGAAAGACATTTTCCTAACGGGTGTCCAAATACTTGCAAGTTTTAGTAAGTGATTATTTTACTGGTGTCCACAAGATTTTCTTGTCCACTATAAGAGAATATACTGTTTTTCTTATAATAACAGACAAATAAAATGTAATGATAAAACATAACACGTTCAGTTTCAACAAACTTTTCCGCGAGTAGACACATCATAGTTGAGTGCAAGTTTACTTATCTTTAATATTTAAGGATCATGGGATTCGACAAATTTATAAATATTATCGTGTTTTGGAATAGAAAAATTGCGTACCGGCACCAATGGTAAAGTTACTGGGTGACCATTTTGAAGGTGGTTAAATACTTTTCAAAATACAAAATAAAATGAAAGGTTACATCGGAATTATACGTATTTGTTACTTTTATTACTTTTGTTACTTAAGTGTTCTGACCCCGTCACTGCAGTATTTCCAACATATTCGAAAGCTCCCTGTATGTCTGCATAAATATGTAGTTTGGACGTAATCTAAACGTAACATCATAGACACCAATAAAATGTCTCTCTACATAGATTGGAACACAGGATATTATGCATATGTAGCATCTCCTACTTTGCGAAATCTATGAAAACAAATATTCTAATGAAGTTTAATACTATTTTCTATTATTATTAACATACTAAAACTACTAGTAAACAAAATAAGATTCTGTTCATTTACATTGGGGTGAACGGAAAGTTTCTGCGTTTTTTGTCGTCATATACGATGGAGTATTTCAAAACACATTAACCCCGTTCGCAGCGACAGATTTAAACGTAAATCGCGATCGACTTCATCGTGAATACATCAAAATAAAATGATAACTGCTACTGAATTATGTGATTGGATGTTGACATCCCGTGAAAACGTAAAAACCAATAACGTTCAACCCAATAATTGTTCTGCATCAGTGTCGATAATCCATCCAAAGAAACAAGGCAGTAACTGTAAACAGACGTAAGTGATGACTATTTACAGTGACTCATACATTCGTTCACAGACTTCGGAAATAACAATTAGGTGTCAAAACTTTTATGCAATTTCTGTTTATACAGGGTGTCCCATTTAAGTCGACCCTCTCAAAAGTTAAATGGTGTCAGGGGTCACACTTTCTGATGTAACTTTTCTCTGTGGACGCGTAGAAGTCATATGAAAGTCGACTTTGTTTTTCTAAAAATGGAATCCTATACTTTTGAACGTAGTAATTCGCCATAAGTGACTCAGTACTTTATATAGGGAATAACGAGTAGCACCAAGTAATGCATTAAAAAATATACGATTCCATTTAAAAAAACAAAGTTAACCTTCGTATGGCTTCTACGCGTCCACATAGAAAAAAGTTACATCAGAAAGTGTGTCCCCTGATACCATTTCACATTTGTCTGAAACATTCTCTAATATCATGAATAGTTTCGGAGATATTCGAGTGGGTCGATTTAAGACACCTTGTATACATTTTCCTTATCGTAACTTTTACTATCCTTCTGCGATGAATTCCTCTTAATTTTGAAATAATATTTGCATTCTGGTGAATAATTCGGTCAAATAGAAGCAACAACCTTACAAATGTATGAGTCACTGTAGGTGGAGCAGGGAAAGTGACAGTTGCCAGCCAAACAGCTGAACTTAGCGCTTAGAAAAAGGCGGGTTACTTTCGGAAGACTTGCTATCTTTTCTAAAGCTCATTCAACCACTCAAAATCCAGACCCCCAGAACCTCACCCCCGACTACTTAGATTTAAAAAGGTATGCCAAATCCTCCGAAAGCTATCTACCTCTTCTAAACTTGGGTCGCCCATTTCAGGGAGATGCGCAGTCTATCTTTCTATGTCCTGTGGGCTTAGCACGCGATGTTTTGGTTGTTTCTACCGCCTTGTCTCGTTGGATACACTTTAGAACCTAGATTCTGCATAAGCTTCCGCAGTCTAGCGACTACAGGGTTGGGTTCGAAGAAAAATATGGATTCACCCCAGCTCCAGTTCGTCCGAGTCGTTGGAGATATCGCTCTCGTATCCGGCCGGCGCGATTCGTGGCGACTCGTTTTTCGTGAAGGTGGTGTTGTGGGATCCGTTGTAATACCCGGTACTTCCGTTTCGTCGCCAGTCGCCGCCACCGTCTTCGAGACGCGGCGGTTTCTTCTCGTTCTCGAGGAAACGTCTGGTCCCGTCCTTCACCGGTGTCACGAGATCGATTTCCTCGATTCGTGCAACAAGTTTCTGGAAGAAATCGACACAGATACTTACTGGCTAACACGATCGCGATAGCGTCCGCTTGATTTGACGGTTAACCGCAGTGGAGCGTGTCTCCGCGTGCTGGACTAGGCATACAGGCCATAGGAAAGGGCATTAGCGTACTTTCCACCGCGTCCGATCCGATTTTGTTGCTTTAAACTCGTTCAGTTGGTGGGCAAGCTAAGTGGACACTGAAGCACTCAGGTATCTATCTCCAGTGAAATCTTTGCAAGTTGTTTTTTTAAAGGATTTACTTAAACGACAAATCCCACGGCCGGATGGGAGCTATAGTTCCCGTCAAAAGATGCGATAAAAATCATTTTCTCTTCTTAAATGGTTTTTGAAATACTTATAATGACATATTGATGTTGAACAGAGATGGACAGAATCGAATGATTTTGTAATTGAAATAAGGGTGTTTCAGCTAATTAGATCACCTCGAATAATGACTTAACGGTATACTTTATTGAAAGTTTGAGGCGTGCAAATTAAATGGCATCAAGGGGGATATCCTATAAGGAACGTGCTTTTTTTGTGGGTGGAGGCATTTCAAAGATATCAAGGACACCTTGATTTTTTTTAACGGAATTGCCTATTTGGGTACCATAGATCGATAGAGTATCAAATTCTGAGTAAAAATGTGTTACCTTCATATGTTCTAAACGTAATAGTTAACAAGATATTTACAAAATAATCACTTTATAGAAATCGCTGTATTGAAGTTGAGGGCCATCAGTTTCAGCACCTATAGTTTCTAGATAGTAAATACTAGTACGTATTAAAAATTATTTTGTAAATATATATATATAAAAAAAAAAACAAAAGAATAGAAAATATAAAAAATAGAAAACTTCATTTCTTGGCTGTTGATCGTTGGATCTACTAAACCTATTGAACAGCAGCCGGTAGGTAATGCATTTTACGGTGTAACACTCACCTTCGGTGTGACCAAATCGATTTCTTCGATCGGAGTTGACGTTTCGAGGTTCATCGTCGTGTTCGGTGTTTCTGACTGCGATCCGACGGTCGATTCCAATTTACGTGTAATGTCCGCCGGCATCTCGGGGCTGAAAGCTCGATTCCCGACAGGAGAAGCGGACGCTGAGCTCGAAGCATTTATGACTTCGTGATTGCGTGCGCTCGAGAAAGACGCAGGTAATAGTAACGGGTCCTCTGGCTCCGCTAGGCCTTCGTTTATCAGTTCTTGGGCGATATTGATGTCCTAGACGAATCACACGAAATAATTTAATTAACCCGATTGCTCAATAACCATGAATATTTTGGTTGCCCACACAAGGTTTAACATTCACATATTTCTCTTAAAAACAAAGATATTTTTACGTCTTTTTCCTATCCAGTAAACATATGTTCCATTATATAATCTTATTTTATAAAAATAAAGTGTAATTACAAACGTTTTAATTATATTAAAAATGGAAAGCTAATATATCGGCTCAAGGTATTTTTTTGAAAACCCACAAAGGTACTAAAAGGGTTAATAAGATACGTACCCTATCGTTGTTTTTGTCGAAAAGATCCACGCATGAAATCGGCGATCCTTCGCGGCGACACACCCCATAACCGTGACTCCGATCTTTGAACCCTTGAGTTTTAGCCACGAGAACTTTCCACTGAGCCAACCATGTGAGTTCGGCGAATCTGTTGCAAGCCTCGGTGCTCCATTCACGATCCCTGAATTGAAACAGAATATAGAAACATAGTGTTACAATTTCTGTGACAACAAAAACAGTTTTAAATTCCATGTTTATTTTTGGCTTGTGCGGTGTTAAGTTAACCAATAAATGGAGTTTGGTTATAAATATTGAGGAAGTTTATTTATCGTATGCACGAAAAAGGTTTGACCATTTTTAATATGGCGAACAAATGCTGCCATGTTTGAACTTTGTTATTTGAAAGGACAATAAAATAATGTACATATTTCAAGTTATCAATAGATAACTTTATTTTATATGCAGAACATCCTTGACATTTAAAATAATCGTCGTTCGTTGAAAGAGGTAAATCCGATGTAATATCGTAAAGTTGAAGAGATCTCATCAATTTCTATGTATATTTTCATATTTTTTATCGTTACTCGTTCACGCAGTCAGTATAATGCACAAACGACACAATTTGAAATAGAAGTTTCCGATCCGATACTGGCAAGGGTAAGGCTACGAATTGCGAAGTTACGCGAAGCGTAACGTAATAAACATGTCGGTTAGTTGGCAACAAGCAGGGAATTCTGTGCCCAGACACGTTATTTCGTCCCGACAACATAACGTATCATCATTGCTGCAAAAGCAACGTGACTAATTAAATACATCCACAACGTACAGTGTCGTATCGTTAATTGATACCATCGAACAAGGTAATTAAGGAGATAGCAACAGTATCGTTTTCATAATAACCACGAAATTTTGTATACTATAAAAGTCAATTTGTTGGAACAAAGATTAAAAAATTTGTGATATCTTGGCCGACGTGACATTTTTATCAGCAACTATTATAGCATCCAGCTATACATATATAATTTCGCGACGTACAGTATCGATTATTAACATTAAAATAAATATATTCAAAACTTTTTCGCAAAAAGAACGCGTCGTGAACCATGAAAAGGAAGAATTGCATATCTATAAAATAAGACTGAATTCACAAGAACGTTTGTATTTCCGAGAAACGGGCCGTTTTGGTAATTTTCCCCCGAGCGCTAATTTTACACGCGTTACTCTAACTAGACAAGCGAGCCAACGTGGAAACAAACAATCCGTGTAAATATTTATGCGAGCACGTATGCAATTGACACCGTACGGCGGTGCAAAACACGAGTTACGTGTACAAACGACAACGCGCCTATTGTTTCGAGCTTCCGTAATTCCGGACTGTCAGTTGGTTAAATTAAAATGACAATCGAGCGAGTTTATCTTTGGGCGGATCGTAACGGGAGAAAGTTATCGTGCTGATCACTACACCATGGATTTCATATACATATACAGTGATTTAATTTCCATAAAAACGTTAATTTGTATAACACGTACAGTGGGAGTCACAAGTGAGTCAGTAACGTTAACTTACACGCTAATAACTTTGAAAATATTGATTTTTCGACCCATGTTTATTAGGACTTTTTTTTCATCGTCTGCCGAGTAGTATCCACTCAAGAAATTATGAACCCTTTTTTTCACCCTGTATAACCTATAATAGATTCGAATAGCTAACAGTTGGGATAACAGAAAGTCTATCGTACACAAATTACTAAAACAATCATTTCGTATACCCCAACCTTACGTTTCATTCTACATTCGATGTAAAAAACAGCTATATGTATTTACCTCGCATAATAAATTTGAATAGCTAAAAGTTCGGATAACAGAATTTGTCGCACACTAATTCCCAAGACCACCCTTTCATATAAATTGACCTTATGCTTTATTCTACATGGGGTATAAAAAATAGTAGTTCTTACAACCCACAACAGATTTGTAATCTAACATTTCATATACATCGATCTAACGTCTAACATCCCTTTTCCATTAGAAAAATTAATATTCATCGAATGGTCTCGACGTTACTGAGAACCACTGCGGCAGAGGTTCAATTACCTCGAGCTGTATTTTTAATTTACTTCGCTCCCGTCTGAACGAGCCGCGAGTTTTATATATGACTACGATTCTTCATGCCATTACTATTAACCCCATTTCCCAATCGAGAAACTGGAGTTACACTCGAGGGTGAACAGACGGCAAGGTCGTCCTACGAAACAAAGATCGTGCGCCGTGCAGCACCCCCGATTTCCTCGAGGCTTAAGCACTTTCGGGACGTCTTGTTCCATTTATAAAACGAGACAATGCAAGTGTACACGCGCGGGAAGACAAAGTGGACGACGAGCGTAGACCCTCGATTTAAACGGTCAGGGGGACTCGTCAGTCGATTCACGGTCCTCGAGCCGAACAACGTTCTCGTCGAGATCCAACAGAACCGGAGTGTTAACCTCTATCCGCCATTGTTACGAGTACAAACGTCTACAACGTGACAATACCGTCAAATCGATCTTTTTAATGATTTGAACGAAAATTGAATGAAACTTTAGACAAACTTAACTTTACTCTGTTTAATGTGAAGTGTAGAGTTCAATTACATTCTCGGAAAAATTGAAACTGAAATTAAGAGATTCGAGTCCAGATTGGTGGTAGCAACGTATATACAAGTTTGGATGTTCGAACCAATACGTAGGGAATTCCTTCAACTCCACGTACAACATTTCGAACTGAAAAAAGAAAGACGTTTGAACCAATAAATATGGAATTATTTTAGTTTCACGTGTACCATTTCGAACCGAAAAAAGACGTTTGAACCAATACGTATGGAATCATTTTAGTTTCACGTATAATATTTCGAGCTAAAGGTGCAAAATTGTTGCTTCTGTGTTTCGAGTTTCTCGCTTGAGTTAATAAACGTTCTAATAGATGCGTGTGGTACTTTTACGGAGGTACGTAAGTAGCCATTCTCCGACGTCGTGTGTTTGGTCTGCGGGTGTAACAGTGTCAAGTGGGATTCTGAGCGTCGAGGAGAAACTCGTCGCGTTTTATGACGTTCGCCAGGTGGAGTTTCGCGTTGGTCACTCGAGGGACAAACTGTTGACCCTTTTGTGAACGTTAAAGGGTCTTAGGACGTTAAAGGACTAGCGTTCCTTGCGACTGTGTCGTCGACGACCCATTGATGAACCTGCTCAACAGGCGAACACATATCGTCTTGTACGTATACGTGTCTGTGAAATATTGTTATATCCATTTAAAAAATATTCTTAATTTTCTACAACCCAATTGAATGTTTGTTATTAAAATTTATTTTACATATACTGTTTACCACTGACCAGTTGAACGCATAGAATTTAAATTTTCAATTTTTCTAGTCTTAGTTTTCTCGAAATTGGTTTTTGTAATTTTTAAGTGAACACTGGTCTACTGTGGTAAAAAACATTTTCATTTGCTTAATAATGGTAAAATTGGTATGTAACCTCAAAGTTACGCTGGGCAGTAGAGGGTTAACATACCTATGTAAATAATACATCCTCAAGACTAGGTATTGTAATGGCAATTGCACAAAATACATTAAGAACAAGTTGTTTTTAGGTCTACGTTTTCTGAACTTATTTTTTTTTTATTTCTTGTTATTTTCTTGACTTCATATACATGTGATCAAATTATTGAAGCCACCTGCATAGATTGACGATTCTACGATTTTAACTGGATTTTTTGTAATTAGATAAGCCAAGTTTGATTTTTTGTGCACTTTTAGTGGACAATTGTTAATTAAGAATTATCCACTGTGAAAATCTTGATATTGTGATTTTATTTTTACACGAGCAGAAACAAAAATTAATTTTTCGTACTGTGACTCTAATAATTTAATCACACATTAAGTTAACTTTCATGGCAAAATCAACTTCTTCTCTATTAACATGTTTGCCACCACGATGGTCATTGAAGACCGTCGTATTACTGTATAATAAGATTGAAATACACTCAGTGGTAAATCTCTTAAATTATTCTTGGTGTTATTAGTACGCTTCTCGTTTAAACTTTCTCATGACCGTCAGTGGACACGAGTTCGTCGGTTATTCCTACACTGAACGTATGTGTGCATGGGTTCATCGTCCGCAAAGAATTAGGACCACACATGATTTCTTATGGGGAATATGAAACGAAAAATTTGATCGTCGAAACATGGCGCAAAATGGCGCAGAATATTGGACAGCAGTGACAAATATTATTAAAGTTATGTGTGCCTTATATCTTGCAAATATATATCGAATTTCATGGATATAATAATAGATCACTTATTGGAACTGATAAATGTACGTCGTTAAGACAATGTCAACCGAGGTTGCCGACACAAAACGTTTTGACCGTCATGTAATACAAATTCAAATGTCAAATAGAAATAATACAAAATCCAATATCGAATAATACAAATTCTGATGTCAAATAATACAATCGTTAAATAATGGACGTGTTAAACCTGACAGTGAAAAATTCAACAAAAAGTAGTAACCCCAAACGAGAAATACAAAATGGAGAATTATTTATTTACGTATTTAAATTATTAAATTGTTCGCGTGTTTTTAAAGGCCGCGTATTGGTAACGAAGATAGTCCTCGAGATCGCGGCTATCTTCAATTAAGGATCATTCGACGCGATTACCCAATTTGTTAATTCCATTGAAAATGGCCGGTCGCGGTTCTTATTGCCGCAAACAATTTTCATAGATTCATTTAGTCGTGATGCAACTCCCGTGTACGGCTCTCCCCTCTCGGATCAGCAATTTCGCTAGACCGAATGATTAAATTAACTTGATGCGACTCATCAGCGTCCCCTTGGCTCGGTGAAATCGCGCGGTACGATTAAAGAGATCTAAGAAACTGAAGTACGATCATTGCTGGTTCATCGTATCGTGATTGCGATGAATTCAGAATTACATTTATTTGACAGGCTGCTTCCTAGTGAAAATCAAGGATTAACTGTAGTTACAAAGTCTCTATTAAGTATTCATTCATCGTATTAAAGCCGAATTTTAGATTATAATAATGTAAATGAATATTTGACACATGAAAAATATATTTTTTAATATCTATACCTCTTTATAACATATAGATTTCAATTTGAAAAATTGGAAAAAGTAATTTAATTAATTTAAAAACAAAAAAATAGAGATTTCACCGGTGAATGAACAATGTTAAGTAAATGAACATTCCTAACCAACAGCGCCAAAATTGTTTGAATACGGAACAAACAATTGAAAAAAAAAAGTCAATATTTAATCGTTTGCTTATTTTAATAACTTAATTTACTTGTTTTTATATATAATGTTCATTTACTTGGTGCATCCATCCGATCTAAATTTTCGTTGGAATTTCGGAACACCCTGTGTATGACAAGAAAATCCGTCAGGATCCATAGGAGAGCGTATAACGGAGTGTGCAAAACGGAAATAGTGTTTCGAAGTGGTCTGTGGGTTTCTGGCAACGAGGCACTCCTCGGGTTTGCCCTCGAAAGCCGTCGTGTCGCGTGTAACCGAAGACCGTCGGCGCCGCGGTAATTCCAACTCGAAAACCATCGTGTGTGTGCATTACTTCGAGGTTACTCCCTCCCCCCTACGGATGATTAGCTGTTTCACGGCACGCGATGGCGAGGAGCTCCGCGGTGGTATTTGGTCAGATTGATTAAATTCACATTCGACCGTGTTACCCGTGGAATCTATTCCAATTCTGATCGTTCACCGGATTACGGGGATGATTCAATTTTTCGGTGGGGCGTGGGTGGCAAATTGATCGCGGCCGTTCGAGCATCGAGAAGCCATAAGGACGACGGTGAATTAACCAATAAGCTGGCATTTCGCTATTTGGGGATCACGTAAGGTAATTCAGGGAAAGATGCCAAACAACTATAATTTAGAATTTATTCGGTAGATGGTAGCAAAATGGTAGCAGAGTTCATTTGCTGTGTCATGTCTCGAACAAGGTTATATTGTAATGTGCATAAGAATTTTTTGTTGCCGCCTGATATTTGATATTTTAATTTAAAAAAAAAGGTGTTATCAACAACATCAGGCTGTTACCTAGATGACCATTTGACTTACTTGACGAGCATGGCATCTTCCCCAACACATTGGTGGGGGGGATTCTCGTTAAACGAAAGACAAATTGCGACCGAAAGCTGGCAGCAGGCCACACATAAAACGTGTCTAAGCGTTGAACTTGCGATTTACAATCGTAAACGTTCTGCGGGTGCATGCGAAACGCCGGTCGAAGGGCGTTCTTGCGCACTTTCTCCGAAGCTTTGTCGTGACTGCACGCCGATTATACCGCCGCAACGAAAGTTACTGCTTTGTACCACCGCGACGGACAAATTGGGAGAAAATCGAAAGTGAAATTATGAAACTGACGAAATAAGAGATATGGAGAAACGTCACGCTGCAGCACATTTCGGAATTAAACTGTGCCCACGAAACGGGCTTTAAGGCCACTTTCCCGTTTAGCGGTTCTGTGGATCCAGCCCTTAATCTACGTGAAAAAATAAGTCGAGAATATAAAATGAAATCTTTTCATTTAGGACTTCGTTTTCGAGGAAATCGACTGTGAAAATCTACTGGATACGCGTGCAATTGAATAGAACTTGGCTAGCGCGTTTGTTCAATGCATTCCGTTTCTACTTACTACCATGAATACATCTTTCAGATTAATTTAAAACTCAATTTTCTTGAAAACGAAGTCTTAAATGGAAAAATTTCATTCTATATTTATGATTTATTTTTTCACGTAGAATCAACCCTTAGCTGGTACTATGCTAAATCGTACTATACAGGGTGTACTCGAAATCGCGGTACAATCAGAAAGGAGGTGAATCCTTATGTAAAAGTAAGTTAAAAATATAAACTACAATTTTGTCATATAAATCTCCGTTTTCGAGAAAATCGAGTTTTAAAGATATTGAAAAGACTCATTTAAAACGCATGTATTCGTGCTGGAAATAAGTAGAAACGGTCTGCAATGAACAGACGTACTAGCCGAGTCCTATTCTGTTGCCCGTAACCACCAGATTTTCGAATTCAATTATCTTGAAAACGAAGTATCACACGAAAAAATTTTATTCTATATTTTCAATTTACTTTCATACGAGAAATGACCTCCTTTCCGGTTGCACCATGATTTCGGAAACACCGGCGATTCTAATTTTCAAGTATTCGTGTTGTTTCAAGTACATTACTAAAAGTTAAAAATTACTTTCTTTCGATTAGTCCATAATAGTTTAGTTCTCTATCAATCACATAATCTGATGAACAAAATTATAAACTTAGCGGTACGCTGAAAACAGTATTACTAGATCGTCGCTCTACTTCTTAAGTGTTCTTTCTCCACTAGTTTCTAAACTGAGAAAACTACAATTGATTATTTTCCTGTTTAAAACAGGTGGATTTGTTTCCAAAGAAAAACTGCCGCGTAATGGAACTACTTGTGCCGACAGTCTCGGACGTTGTCTTTAAATATACATGGCCTATTCCACGTTACAAGAAAACTATTTCAAAGAAGAGCTCCATCGACAGCCCCACATTCGACACGAACGTGAATGGTATACAGAGCTCGTGGAATATGTCCATCAGATTCTGGAAGAACCCCGACGGTAAGAGGCGAAAAATTCTTAAACTCTGGTACTGATTACACTGATCTGAATCATACTGAAATTATTTTTAGTGATTCAAATCAATAAATTGGAAAAACATTTAATTGTTTATTAACAGGAAAGAGAATCAGAAATCCCGTGGTGCTATGCCTGAACATGCTTAGTTGCACTGTGGACGAGGCAGAGCAAACAAAGATACGATTTCAATTTGCAGTGTTCAATATCGACGAGAAACGTTGGGAGTATTGTCACGTTAGTAGGACAGTGCTCGAACTGAAGTCATGCGCCGATATCATTTCCTTGGGTTACAGAGATCTGTCCATAGTCGAGAGGCATTTAAAGAGAAACGGCGAGGTTCTGTTGATGGTCAAGATACAAATAATCCAGTGTGAAAATGAGAAACACAACTTGTCGCAGGCAAGTGTTTCGAAACAGATCGAATCGTAAAGACGTTTCGTTTAGGAAGTTTCTACACCACAAATGCATTCGTAATTGAGCGATTTATCGCTGAATTTTATTTATTTTTCGACAAAATTATGGTTGTGGTTAAAATATAATTTGGAATCTACACTTACTATACCTAAAAATAAGTGATACGTATTTTCTGTTATCGACTGAGACGCGACTTTAAGGGATGAAACCACTCCTCGAAATTTCGACCCGAAAGTATTATGTATCTCGAAAACCAGAGGAGATACAGGAAAACTTCTAATGAACGAGGTTTGCGGTCTTTTATGTAGAATAATATGGTGCTAACAAATTGTCCAAAATATAATTTGCTCATAATAAAAAAATTTCAGATCGAAACTTCGAGGGTTGGTTTCACCCCGTAAAGTCGCGTCTCAGCCGATAAAAAAAATACGTACATATACTTCAGTTTTGACTGCTTAACAGACATAGGAAGTTTCATCAAAAACATGTAAAAATGTTATTCTACTCAAGCTAGTATTCTGTAATTCTTTTTCCTGGAAATTGTACGTATACATAACATAATGAACTGAATACCACATAATTTACAAAAGTCTGTAGTGGAATACGGCAAGGTTCTGCTATTTGTAGATATTGCTTTTGAAATGACGTAGGATCAATTGATAACATGTATCATGATCACGAAAGAATATAAAAAGAATAGATAAGCTAGAAGTACTAAATTAAAATATTACAGGACATGGCCAGACTATTGAACCATCCTCATGGCGCAGACACAAAATTAATCTGTGGAGGTTTGACCAATACACAAATTCCAGTCCATAGCAGTATAATCGCTGCACGTAGTAGTGTTCTAGCTAAAATGATTTCACCTCTAAGAGAACCGCGAACAACAAACACAAGTACCGCAGAAGAGAAAATGTTGGATACACGAGACCCAGATGAAGAAAAGGTGATCGATAAGGAGAATGATTGTCTGGAACCGCGATCAAGCATTGATCCCGTAACAGTACTAAAAAATATTTGAAATGTTTTTCAAATTCTAAAATGACGATACTAACAAGTAACGTTAGCTAACTGGTACACACCAATTTTTATGGAACTTTGTAACGCATAGTTATACAAGAAAATGTTAAACGCGTTATGTTTATCAATGGGATTAATTTGATCTTCTATCAAGAATAACATCAATTGCGTTCCTGTAGTTTATCGATATGCAACGTTTTATTAAAGTCGGTTGTAATAGTTCTGTGATGTTCTTTGTGAGATAATTAAAATTGTAATTTTCTGACATTGGACACTAGTAAGTCTACAATTAATGATCTTATCTTACTTTTGTTTGTGAGTGACGCTTTTTTTAACTGAATATGATTTTATTGATTTGATGGGTGAGTACTTTTTATTATAATAAATTTTGCAATATGTAAATTTATCAAAATCTGAAATGTAAATATTTTCAGGATCACTACATGTTTTCACTTGAATTATTGGACTTAAGTAGTGAAGTGACGAATGAATTATTACGGTACATATATACCGATCATGTAGATAATTTAGATAGTTTAGCTCCTCAACTTTTGTCTCTGGCAGAACGCTTCTGTCTACAAGGTATTGTACAAAATGAAATAAATAACTGATATAATAAAAATATATTATGAGTGACACTCAAAATTATTTTATAGGACTGAAGGAGCTTTGTGAAAGGAATCTTATTGAAACGATAAATCCGGAAAACATAGCGAGTAGACTTTTGGTCGCAGATGAATTTGGATGTGGTGCGCTTAAAAGAGCCAGTTTAACATATTGCGAAGAAAATTTGACTGTACTCAATAAAAGTATAGCGTGGAAGATAATGGAACATGTAAATCCCGAATTATTTAATGAAGTTTGTGAAGCTAGTATTGGCAGTTCCAGATCAAGTAATATGGATGACAGTGAATTAAGTAACTAATATTGTAAAAATGATTCATAATTTTATATTCTTGGAAAGAGAAATGTGTATATATAATGACATTACCATAAACTGTATTAGTTAAAAAATCTAATCTAATTATATTTGTTACTTACCAGATTTACTCTATAATATAATTTTATTAAACAAATAAGGATATTTTCGTAATATTTAACTGATATCATTCATATACTACCCTTAAGACAATTATAAAATAATTACTTTACAATTTATGTAGACTTACCTTGGTTTAACATTGTTCAAAGAACACTCTACTGCCTGCAAGCGTAAACATAGAAAGTCTGTTCGAAGGTCCAGTATATTGTCAAGCTCAACCATATCATGATCGCCATAGTCCATAAAATTGACTTCACACTGTCCATCTTCAGGTGCAGATATAACTTCAGCTCTGTACCACTGTTCGTCAAAATTGAATTTTGCTGCACATATTTGACCAGGAGTTATCTGAAACAGAATGATATAATTTTAGTAATATTCCAAAATGTATTATCAAATACAAATCTATGTGACTGTAACAGCTATAGATAATAGTAAAATATTATATATACTTAAAATGTTCCAAAGCAACAAACTTGTGTTTCTTGCATTGTATATACTTACATCAGTTAGTTTATGTTGTTCATAATTCTGTTCATCATTGTAATAAGCAGTCATTTCAGACACTAGTTCGTCTAAAGCTGTAGTTCCACAGCCAACAATTTGAACCCAGAATTTACTGGGAGTTTCCATTGCAGACACATATACCTCCATTGTGCCATCAGTACCTGAAACCAAATCTGTTGTATCAAAGAAGTAATTGTACTATACTGACCTATTTATTGACATAATAAACAATACTATTAGATGACTGTATCGCTGAAAACATGTACACTAGACTCAATCAGGTATATACTCAGACTTCTTCATGTATAAACAAACTTCTGTTTAAAACGAACCTTGTAAGGACTTCGAGGATTCAATGGGTTGTGAATGTTCAGTTGCGTTAATTGCAGTGCTGCGAGGAGACAAGTTTGCTCTAGGTAACCTTGATGCAGAAGAAGCTTCCAACTTTGCAGATGCTTCTTTTTCTTGTCGAACTTTTTCTTCGATTTGTGACAAAGCTGCAGCTATTTGTTCAGCTGTGCCTTTTATTATAATCCTTGTTTCAGAATCTGTAATTTGCTAGTATCAGTTATTAAAATTTTAGGAGAATATGACAGGAAACAGACACAAAACACTAAATTTATATATGTAATTAACATACTTGGATCATAAAGAGCACAGCCACTTTCAATTATGACTTTTGCACTGGAAGACCTTTGAATTTCTTGCACAGATTCACCACCTCTTCCTATTATTCTTGCACATGCTTTTTGTGGTACATAGATTTCATATGTTTCAATAAGAGGCTGATTTTCAATAATAGATTTTATCATCTCCTGAGCGAAACATGTGCTTTCATAGGTTCCTCTTATGATACAAACACGTTCTGAACATTCCAGATTATCTTCCTTAAAATGTATTTGTGTGCCTGTCTTGCTTTGTACATCCTTTATTACGGAACCACCTCTTCCAATAACAGCAGGTACAAATTTCCTAGGCACTTTATATTCTACTGAAATTCTCTTTGCAGCTTCAACATGTCTTCTTCTAGAGGATGTATCTTCTTCATCCTATTTATTTAAATGACTCAATAATGAAATTATCAATCAATGTCAGTACTATTTTCAAATATTTCAAACTTACCTTTTTGTATAACAAGTATATTAAAGCAATGCCGACACTTGTTAGAGAAACACCAAGTAGAATTGGTAGCGTAAAGTGTTGTGACGACCACTTCATTTTATATATTAGCGTTTAAATCCAGTTCTCTATTTCGTATTTTCTATTTACATGCAGGTTATTACCGATTTAATTGTAGAACATGTTTCAGGGGTTGTTATGAACGAAATGTTTCATAACCTTGAATAATATCTTTTAAACAGTATTTATTTCGCTGGATATAAAAGACACAACAAAATGATTGCAAAAATTGAAAGTATCGTTTTAACAGTATTTTCAATCAATTTGTATTAAAATACTCTCTAAAGCTACAAATATTATAAGGATTTAAGCCCAAATCGGAAATTGTATTTTTAAACCCGTAATGGTACCAACTGCAGAATCATTCATTTTTTAATCAAACAAATATTTTAGATTTATAAAGTATAAAAATCAATTATTTAGAAAGACTACATTCCTATTAAATGTATGAACGTAATAAAATAGTGTGTAACATATAATAAACGTAATTATAAATCATATAATCTAATTTGTTATGTTGGTAGAAGTCCAAAACAGGTCATGACGAATTACCAAGATTAGAACGTGACAGTTGACAGTCAATTTAAAAGTATCATTTACCTCGACGAAACTTTAAATACTGTTAAACGCTCTTTAACATAGATTATAGATAAACTAATGTTTTTTCCAGGAATGAAACATAGTTGGAGCAAATGATTAACAATTTGATGATATAGTGATTTTTATGTAAGTCCGGTACTTATATATGTATACATATATATCGTGTATAGCTGCTACTATTCACTTGAAAATTATTATATTTAACATAGTTATAAGTGCAGAGTTTGAAAAATGTATGATTTATTAGGAACGTAAATAGCAATTATTTTTGCATCGTCCATTTTTCAATTCCCTAATAACTAGTTGTGTACAAATTTCGAGCAAATTGCCAGCAAATAATGACAAAAGTTGTCTGAAAAAACATAGCCATCTGTTTCCGCATTTGGCTTATATTTGCAGGCAACGCCAGTTGATAAAATGGTAAAGCAAATTGGCAGAAAGTCTTACAACATGACCTGTGTCAAATTAGGGGCACGAATACGGAACAGAGTCTGCGCGAGCCAATTTGTTGCCTATATTGCTGCCAATGTGCGCGCAAGTTGTTTATAGCAAATCTTGCATTAAATGTGTACCCATAACTTTATAATCGGGGTTTGGACAAAATTTGGCTTTGCAGGTTTGGCTGACTGGGTGGATTACTCGAAGTATTTATAGTATTTAAACTTATCAAGAAAAAAAATAATTTTCTTTAACCATCTCTGAATTACTTTTTTCTTGAACTGTATCTAATCAACTCTCAAGCATTATCTATGATCGGAGTTGGTTAGAGATAGCCGTAGTAGTATATTGTTGCCATTTGGTTATAATAATTATATACATATATAAATTGTATATGTATATTAAACAGATAAACAAGTGGTTTACCAGCAAAGTTACCTTTACAATTTATTATGTACAATTTATACAAGTAGCTATATAATTATTACATATAATTATTATAAGTTATTTCCAATTTTCTGTCCTCTGACTCTATTTTCACAAAATTTCAAATGTCAAATGTGTTACGCAACAGTAACAAATTGCGAGTGTATTCATAAATAAGAAAACAAAAAAATCAATTTGAAATATAATAACGAAGGTTTTGGTTGTAGTAACGTTTCTGACGTCTTCAAGACTATATTCGAATGTTGTCAAACTTTGGGTGGGCCAATAATGTTATATTATCATTGTAATGTTCTTATTAATTATCTATGAAACTAAACGTCCGTTCACGTTAAAAACTCTGCTAAGAATGAATTTCTATTGCAGTCAAATAAACACAACCATAGGCCAAACTCAATGTGCTAGTACCGGCAGTTTTTCGCGAATATCTCGGAAACTAATATACTATACGATGTTACGAACTTTATCTCCAGACAAGATAGTAGCTACTGAGGAAATTTGGTTTATAAATGTCATAAACATCACAGGATGTCGCGGTTGATGTTCAAAAAGGATTTTACTTATTATTGCCAGTGTTTTCTTCCTGTTATTTTGTAATCTACATCATGTATAAAGTATGTCACTGCGTAGTTACACCCTCTTCAATTCACAGAATCATACACGATAAAGTAATATCAGTATTGCAACAGTACAAGTTTCAAACGTTTGGTACAGGTGGCTACAATTCAGTTAAAATTGTTCCAACATGTATGACGTATATTTTTCCATATGCTTATATATACATTTTTTTAGATCATAATTTGTTACATAATATAAAACGACGATTTTTGTATTCTTACAAGCTCGAGAAATAATTATGTGTATATAAATATTTTTTTTTTTTACTATTGGTACATATAGTCTCGTTAGCGAAAGAAGAACATCAAACGTGAACACGATCTAGAATAGATTATGCTTCCCTACTATAAGAGATGGGAAAACTTGCTTACACATTGTTCGCATAGATAGGTAACAAATGTTAAGTATTTCAGCTACATTTACTTCCACAACTTGTAGTTTCCTGTTAGAAAAATTCTCAGATAGTACGTTTATTGCGAGAAGGGTAGTATTGTACAGTCCGGAATAATGGCATGTTTCAGATTTTCTATTATTTCTTGAAATGCAAAGAAGGAATTGGATATTTGGTACATTTTGTATATTATATAAAATATCTAGAGTAAATTTTCTCAAAGACATGTAATACAATATTATTTGTGAATATTAGAAAAAAATGTAAATAGGAATTTAATTTAGCAGGAAATTGCAATTTACTATGAACAGTAACCAACACATTAAACTGGTAGATAATCGATTTTAACTTGTGGATGCATTTAAAAAAATAAGAGAACATATTAAGCGTAATATTTTTATATCTTAATGCAGGCCTACCTATTTATGTTTGCAATAGTAGTACATGAAGTAGGTATACGATTCTATTATACATATAGCGCTTTGCAAAAAATTATCGAACTTTTATTTAAAATATTTTTAAGGTAATATTCACACATATTGATAAAAATGAGACACCCTATAAATGCCTATGTGGACCATACAAGAATACAAGTGATTATTTCACACGAATGCGTACGATGAACATAGTATACAGTGTATGCTTTGCTGCTACTAGATGTTACCCTGTTACTTCGCGTTTTAGAATCACTGAAGGAGTTTAAATTTAGTTTATTAATACCATACCATTTGTTACCTTCACAAAGATATGAAAATTATTGATTTTTCTTACTTCAAGTAACTGTTCCAATGACCGTTAGAAATTCGCAACCGTCACGTAATAACGATAATTTAATGACTATGTTAAATGACGTGATTATCAACTATTTTATAATTATGTATCTGAATGTCCTACTTTATTGTTCAAAATAATACTTGCTCTAACAATTCTATATGTACAATCAATTGTGATCATTACATAAATCGAATATTACAGATTTAAAGCGCTACGATTTGAATTAATTGCAAATGTATATTATTAATACCAATACACATGTACAAACTATAAGTAGTAATTGTAATATGTATGCATTGTTTGTGATAAATGTCTTCTCAAGTGTTGACGTTAACATTTTAAAGGTTTTAATAATCACGATTTTAAGTCGGTTATTTTTCTCGGCGTACAGCGTACAGTCGCGTAGAGTAAGTAAGTATAGACAAGTTTCACAATTGATAGAGACGTGCTTTTAGTTGTCTATCATTCGCAGAAAGTGGCGTCTCTACTGAGCAGGGAAACATAGAACGAGGGAAGTAGTAGTTTCCAGTACATAGGCGCGCCACATTTTGATTCGCACCACTTGCATAAATATTGACACTCAAAAACATGTAATCCTGTGTGCATATGCATTCACGAATAGTTCTGATATTGTTTTTTAGTGAAAAACTACATTCAGTATTTTTAGAAATAAAAATTTTATCGCTCCGTATAGTTCATATATTGTATTTTTATTTATAATTGGTCACTATATACAATTATACACAATACTGTCTATAACTTAAATAACTTTTTCTCGTACAAAAAAATAGTAAAACTTCATATTTTTCTTGACAATTCCAAATTAAGTAACGAAATAGTTTAGAAGAAAATTGTTTGCTAGTTTAACTGAAGGAGGTATAGTTGATGCTGAGAACGCAATAGGGTAGTGAATACAGCAGGCCCTGAAGAGAGGTTGAGATCTAACAAAGGGTATCATGGCAGTAGACAAGTGGTACTTAATCCAAACTTTAAAATTAGTTTTCCTTTTTCAGGAATTTAAAAATTTTTGTAATTGCTTAGGACCCGCAAAAAGAGCTTCTGTTTATGGTTACTAGACGACGAAAATGGTAAATAAATCTGCTTAAAACTGCTAATTCATTAAGATTTCGTTAAAATAAGTAGGTATATTTAAAATTAGATGATTCACTCTGAACAGTACGTAGTACATGATTTTCGAGTGTTATTTTCTGTTTGAATCGCGCGTGCGCAACACAGTCAGATACTATTGCTATATAACGCGGTGATTCTCACAGGTCTGACAGTTTCGAAAGTGTTTTAGAATTGAAGTTAAGGCGTTACAGCGGTACAATGAAACCACGTGTACTGGTCACTAGCAGCGATGTGCCATCAGCTGGTATCGATCTTCTTCGCACAAAGTAAATACTACTAAATACCTATGTTATACTGAAAACACTTGAAAAATTTAATTTTTTCTTTAGTAAATACAAACAGGAAATTTATTATAAATTCAATATTTCCAACTCGTATTATTGTAATTTTATACAAGATAAGGTTTATCACTCTAGGTACATATGGTTAACTTATATGATATATATTATATATATGTTTATATGTATATATATATATATAAGTTTTACTTACTGTTGAAGTTAAACGTTTAAATAAATATTTAATATGATTCTTTAATTTTGTTCGTTAATCTTTATTTAGATGCGACGTTACGATAATCCACGATAATACAAACACTTCACGCGAAGATGTGTTGCAAGCACTTCCCGGCCATGATGCAGTCTTTATCGCGAAGCATTACACTGTAAACACTGAATTTCTTGATCTTGCAGGTACATATCGAGATACATTCATTTCTCAATGTAACTTTATTGATTAATACAGTGTACATACCACGTTACTTCGAATGTAACTAATAATGGCGCTTTCAAAATATGAATTTTTCAGAGCGCTAACTGGCGCTTACTTTCGAAAGTAGTTGAGCTTTTAATGAATATTTTCATTAATAAAGTTAATATTAAATAGGGCCAACGCTAAAGGTTGTTTCTACAATGTCAGCCGGTTACGACCATTTGGATGTTCCTGAAATTAAACGAAGAGGGATTAAAGTCGGAAATACGCCTGTCGTTTTATCTGGCGCAGTCGCTGAAATTGCTGTACTCCTAACTTTGAACGCAGCCAGGCGAATCCACGAAGGACGTTTAAAACTTGAACAGTGATAAAAATGTTTTACTTTCGTTGAATTTGATTTAGATTTGATTATTTTATCGTTAAATTGGCTAAATTTCTTAGAATTTGCATGAAAGTATTAGCAGTTTTAATGTTCTACGATATTAGTTTTAAAAAGGCATGGATATACCTTTCAAAATATTTTTAATATTTAAAAAACAATTTATTGAAGTGTAAGCATTATTAAGAAATTCTGAAAACCCGTTTAGAATGTTAATTAATTGATAATTATATATTAAATGAATTATAATCAAACGGATTTAATAATAAACATTACGATAGATAGACAACTCACAATTAGTATGAAAGTTAAGGTCTTTACCTCGGTCATTGGATATCATAATTACTAACCGGTAAATGAAGAAATGAACACTTTTTTCCCAATTATCTCTCGATTGTTACATCTCTTCTAAAAACTGTATATGTATATATAACTATTTATGCAATTTCCATAAAGATGTAGTATTACAAAAGATATAATCAACAATTTTACGAACCATACAATGTAGTCACTTTGAAATATAGTTTTAATATTTATAAATAAAATTATTGTTAATTTAGGGGACAAACGGAACATAATCTTCAATGGTTACTTGGTCAAGATTTACAAGGATCAACGGTTGGCATTGTTGGGTTGGGTAACATTGGACAAGCTGTTGTTAAACGATTAAAGGGATTTGATGTGGCCCGTTTCATTTATACAGGCCATTCTCGTAAAAAAGCAGGTATTTATCAGGTGATAATTTTTATTAAACTTTTCTTCGTGACTGCTGCTTTATCCAGGTGACGAGCTTGGAGCTCATTTTGTATCTCTCGATGATCTGCTTGAACAAAGTGACTTCGTAATTGTTACGGTTCCATTGACTAACGAAACAATGGGCTTATTTAATGACTATACTTTTGGAAAAATGAAAAACACCGCTGTATTCGTAAACGTCGGACGTGGGCAAGTTGTAAACACAGATGCACTGGTTAAGGCCTTGCGTAATAAAACAATTTTTGCGGCTGGACTTGACGTTACGGATCCTGAGCCACTACCGCCTAATCATGAACTTCTTAATCTTCCTAATGCTGGTTAGTATTGCTAATTATAACAAATCATATAACAACTTTCCATACCATGATTACACAAGGATTAAAATAAGCAACAATTTTATGTCTTCTTCAAGTAATATTTTTTTTATTGACTGAAATTATACTTTACAATTAGAAACATGTACACATTATGTATCTGTGTGTATTCAGTATCTAACAATAGAAATGTATACCAAATCTATATAAATGAATGTATGTATATAAATATATATATATATATATATGTATATATGTATGTATAATGTACTGCAGTGATCGTACCTCATTTGGGCAGTGCTACTGTGAAGACTCGACGTGATATGTCAATTGCTGCAGCACAAAATATTCTCAATGGGTTAGAGGGTAAGCCATTGGTGTATGAACTATAACTCTTGTTTTTTATATGTTTAAAGTACAAAGTTATATTATGGAATTTATATGCTACATTTCCATTTTATGATAATATAATGACACTGATGTGTTTTAATATAATTTTTTTACATTCATACCACATTGTATACAACTATAAAACTTGAATAATTCTTTCTTAAACATGGATACCTAAATTTAATTTTAAACATAGAATATACATTGTAAATGTCAAAATGCCTCATTGATGTCTTATACCAGAAACTATTTTCCGTCGTAAAAATTTGTAATGTCTTCCTTTCTTCATTTTTATATCGTTTTATGCAAGACTTGAGACAATTTCTACCTTTTAAATAGATATTGAAAAAATTATACAAAAATTCTAATAAAAAATTTATAAGTATGAAAGAATACACCTTGTATTTTTCGTAAATAATAAAAAAGACAATATATAATAACATTATTCTCATTACAAGTGTTTATCAAATTTAACTGTAACCTTTTGGTATTTATCACCCATAATGTACAACAGGTAACCATCAGGCCTCCACTACTGCATTTTTTAGATTACTTAGAATTGGATCAATTTTGTTTTCCAACGATAAAATATGACCTGTATTACAATTATGACTAGCAATAAAACTAATGACTAATGGTAATTTGTTCATTTGAACTACCTGTAAATTAAACAAAATATGAATGGTTTTTTAATGTTTTATCACAAACAGTATCATACAGTAAGTAAAAATTAACATATGTTACTAATCACAATTAATATTAAAAATAATTTAAGTCACATATACTTCTGTAGCATGAACTCTTTAAGTAACTATTAATTATTAAGATTTAGGGTATAACTATTATGTATGTGCATATATTATTTACCCCTTTTTTTGATTAAAGTAAAAGAAAATAATAATCAGTAAAAACCTATGCATTTAATTATTATTACCTGATAACTACTATACATGCATATGATAGTTTTATTTTTTCCAAGTCCTAATTTACTGCCTTGATCAGTTGCCATTCCAAACGTGGACAAGAAACTTGCTCTCGTGGCCAATTCTGGTGCTTTTTCATCAGCTACAGATATAACGGGTACTCCGTCCCTATCTGTTATCAATATGCTATGAAGTCCTTCTACACTACTTAGAAGACTATATAAAAATTTTTTTAATTCCTGAAATAATAAGAAAAATACATGTGAGTGATTACAGCAGACAATAATACTTCTATTATGGGTTTATATGTTCATTTCTATGAGGTATACAAATTTCACTGTATAAATAATGTTACAGTTATTTTAAAACTTGTTTAAAAGATTTGTACATAACCTTGAAGTATATGCAATACAAGATTTTTTTAACTTAAGTAATTGTAATTTCATAACTTACTGTTGTCATTTTTCAATATTTTTGGTAATAAAGGTTAATCTAATAACTTATAAATACATGAATGTTTCGTAAACCTTGCACATTAACACTATCAATACAGTCCTGCTCAGAATTCTGAGTTACAACTTTTGACAGTTTGACAGACTGTCACTGTCCAAAACTGTCATGTGGATTTCACGTCCTCTAGAGGTGGCGTGAACTGATTCGACAGTTGCACGAGTAACATTAGACCGAGCTAGAGAATTGTACGAGCAACAACGATAAAGGATCACGTTTCAAATGTGTACTGATGCAAGCCCTTTCACTACCGTTCATTGTCCCGTAATCCGCATGTAATAACAACAGATTTAATCCGGCAGAGGACTACTGAAAATTATTACAGACGTCTATCGTATGCCACCGGCAATCAAAATTTCGGCGACAAACTTATGAAACCTTTATGAAGCTTTGAAGACTGTACGGAAGATTTGCAAGTTACAGGGGAGGGAATTATTTGCGGCATATAAGTTACAATACTTTATAAGCCTGAATAATATGCAAGCCTATTTTTTCTGAATTTATATAAATATCATTACAAGTACATTGTAAAATCATATAGATAAGTAGGATTTAAGTAAAATAAGTATCTAAGGGCACTTTTATTGAATCTATACAAGTATTATTAGAAATATATTGTAAAATCATGTATGTAAGTAGTACTTAAGGCAATGTGATGGGCACAAATTTATTACCAAAAGTACTGCATTCAATTCTAGTGCTACGAATGAACCCTTAAATGTTAGGAATGAAGAGAGGCCTCTCATTTCAGGTAGTAGATAGTGACCAGTAGTGACCCCTGAGTTGTGGAGTGGTTGGAATATTATTCTGACCGCCGATTGCGTTTTTTTTATTTTTTTCAATTTATATTAGCGCTGACATAATTAAACGAATTTGACTTTATAAAACATGTTATATTTTTAAATCACAATGTACTAAATCTGACCATTCATTTTTTAAGTTTATAATAGAAAAAAATGCGAAAACATCAATGGTTAGTATGTTCAAAAATTTGTGATCGAAGGGATGTCATGTGTCATGCATTTTTGGTGCTAAAGCAGAAATACAATATATGAGAAGTTGTTTTTGTACTTTTTTAAACAATTAATTATTATAAATATTTAGTTTACGAGTGATTTCTTATTTGCATCGTACATGTGATTGGAAACGTAACAAAAGTAAAAGCAATTAACCTATATTAATTGAACTTTGAAGTTAAAATTTTCCGATTAATTGTAAATGACATGATATCTTATGACGAGACAAAAGTTGAAATAGTACCGATAAGTGGAGAAAAGATTGAAGGAAAAGAAGAAACTGTTGTATTCGTTGAACAGTACGTGAAAGATGTGTGTGATTTTAGTTCCCAGTATGGAAGTAATATCAGTATTTCTTACACAGCTTATAATATTGCTGGTAATCCCAGTAAATTTCCAGATTATGGAGACTTTCCACAAGCTTTTGTTATGGTACGTTGTTTTTATATTTAGCTGTGTAAGTTGAATAATTAGTACAATGTACATATTAACTTAATTATTGCAAATTTATATGTGAGGTATGCCAGATATAGATCAAAATACTTTAAGAGGTGATATGGGACCTTAAATCAGACAGTCTACTATAATATCATTGTCTAAATTGCTTTTATTTTATAATAACAAAGTTAAATACAATAATAAATTAATATTAATTGATCCAGTGTAAATTTATTTATAAGAACTTTTTAGACTAATATACAAATATTATAAACAAAATGTTGCTGTAAGTCAATCTAATTTCACGTGATCATTGGCACTAATAACAACACATCAGGATATATTGAAATTAATGATAGACATCTTTAATATTTTTATACTAATACTTGAAACATATTTGAAATATTATTTTATTTTAGAGAACATATGGACCATGGTGGAACAAAGCACCTTCAAGACTGATAGATTACATGTCACAAAATAATGGAGGTGTAGTAAGCCAGGATTATATAGGTATTGTATAAAAACATTTCAGTGAATGACTATGTAAATGTTACATTAACATTTCCAATATTTGTAGTCTATAGAAGATGAAAATAAAATAATTTTGTGTTCTCAAGATTTAGAATATTATCAAGAGGTATATCCAATTAGAGTTTCAATATATGAAACTTATAATCCTGGAAGTGTAGTTGGAATTTGGGCACGAAATTCTGAGGGAAAGTGGTGTCAGTTATGGAGTGGTGTTCCTCAAATTGTTCCACATAGGCCACGTATATTTTCCCCACGTTTGCAGCTATGTAACTTTAAAACAAAAATGATAAGACTGGAATTTAATCATGACTTATTAGATTATTATACAGAATTGGATGCTGTATTACTTATTGGAACATCAGAACTAATAGTTCCTAACAATAATTTGCATAATCAAAATTTAAATGACCTTCTGCAACAGTTGGGTTACTTGGAACATAGTAGCGATGATACTTACAACCTAACACCACATTACTTAAAGGCTAATCAAGACTTAGCAGTTCTGAAAAAGACACTCTCTAAGCACTGTAAACTTTTTAAAAGGTACACGAATATTATATTATTAATTTAAATAGTAATTTTAATAATATGGCAAATGTAGTAATGCATTCAAATATTATTACAGCATGATAGTAGATAATATCTCCAAAGGTAAATTAGTATCTAAAATAGGTCAACATTATCAGTCTGTGCCACCTCTAGAAGAAGCATTCAATAGTTTACAACAGTTTTTACAAGAAGACTTCCCCAAACTAATCAGAGATATTCAACATTCAAAATCGAATGCATTGTTTGAACAAGATAACTCTCCTGATGATAGGTTTCTAGTACCATTAACAGATTCTGAATATCAACCTTGTGGCAGTTTCTCAGCACTTCCAGTAAATAGTTTGATTCCTTAGGTCACATAAGTTCTGTTTTGTAATTGATATTTTTGTGTTATTTTTATTATGATTTTAACAGGATGAAACAGTACTAAAAATTTTAAAAAACTTGGACCTAAAATCATTGTGTCGTCTATGCAGAGTGAATAGACAGTTTAATAATATCGCAAGAGATGCTTTGCTATATACAAGTCTCAATTTAAAACCTTACTGGCATTGTTTGGACACAGTGGCGTTACATACTCTAATGCCTAGGTGTAAATATTTACAACAATTAGACCTGTCGTGGTGTGGAAATTATGATATGATCAAATATGAAGATTTTATACAATTTATTCAGACATCTGGAACTCTTTTGACGCATTTACGATTAAATTGTTGTCAGTTTGTCAATGATGCAGTTATCCTTGAAGTTACAAAAGTTTGTAAGAATTTGAGAGGTATGCGAAAGAATCGTCCTAGCGTATACAAACATGATATTGTTTATTCTATCTATGCAACAGAAACATTTATTTATTTTAAAATATCTTAGAATTATGTTTACGCAACTGTATGGGAGTAACGAACGAAGGATTTTCGAAGCTTGAAAACTTGGAATTGTTCGAGCGTTTAGAGCTTTACAGAACAAATATTGAAACGTCTACCTTATGTTGCATATTACGAAAGAACATTCAAATGCGGCATTTGAATTTAGCAGGAATGCACGATCGTTTAAATATCGATGAAGTTGCAGTTGAACTAGGAAATTCTTGTCCATACTTAGAAAGTGTAGATTTTTGGAAAGCACAAACATTAACTCCACATGGAGTCAGAGCATTATCTCACTGTACTAATCTGCGAGAAGTTGACTTTGGATGGTGGTATGTTGTCTGAAGAAAGTATATTTTTAGTGCCTTTAGTAATTATATAGTCCAGGACGGTTGATAATTGAACGTACACTAATCATTATTTATGTATGCAGTGGTGGAATGGGTGCACCTGGTGATTCCTTACGAGCACTACTATCTTCATGTCGATACCTGGAGAAAGTATTTTTAGCAGCCCTTAGAGGATTAACGGATCGTGACTTAGAACCACTTTTACTGTGTCAACGATTACAACAGTTGGACTTATTAGGAGCCCGTTCTCTTACTCCCGATATATGTTATGGGCTTCTATTGTTTTGTCCAAAGTTAGAAATGATTGATCTTAGTTTCTGCGAAGGTATCAGTGATTTTATAGTACAAGAGTGGCGTCAGTTGTATCCATATGTCTCTATTAAAAGAAGTTTTCAAGTTATTAGCTCAGATATGCTATAAGAAACATTCCAGAATATTTATTCTACCCAATTTTATTATAACTAACGAAATTAATGTTCTCTAACTGCCAGAAAATTTCCATAGTAATGTGATTTAATTGATCAACTTCTTGTCTATGGGAATGCTGTAAGACTGTACTGCAATTGTATACAATTAATACACGAAGCATAGGTATTAATATATTTATATTGGTCCCTTATTTAAAAAGTTGTATAATATATTTTTTGCAATTTGATAATGCTTGTATGTTGCTTATGCAAAAGTGTAATTGTATAGTATATCATAAGAAATTTTCTATACATGTAAATATAATATTTTCATTAAAAGAAAAGACATTAGATTATTCAATTTAAATAAATTGTATTTTATTTAGTATAAAACAAGTTGATGAGGTAAAGTGCAAATATTTTTAACCGATTGAATAAATCTACACATTACATATCCATGTATTTTTCGAAAATCACCGAAGGAACCATGATCGCAAATTTTTCTTTTCGTTCGCTGAACAGTAAACGTATTAGAAAGAAGTTTTGCGTTCAAATCCTGCCAGACCTATTATTTTTTCTATATTGCTATTATAAACACGCTAATATTATTATGCAAATTTAATTGAAATACATTATTTTTCCATTGTTAATACAACAGTTTAATAGTGACAACAAAGGCTTATATGTTTTCAAATACAAATAGTATACTTCTATTCTGCAGTATCACACATAAATGAGTAATATTTATCACAGAAGCAATTGAAATACAAATTTTTATTTTACGTAAAAGACCATTTACTATCTATTTGCAGACAACAAATTTTTGCTTTTTCATTTGCGAATATCTCATTAAATATAATAGTTGCGATGGGAACAATTTTAGATTCCGAGGGATCAAATTGGGAGAAATTTTTTGAGATGAAAATTGTTAAGAAATACTAATATTCCGTGCCAACTATTTTTCGGTCTATTTTTCGGTCTACTCGTTTTACAGTGATATGAAGATGACGGTCGGTCGTTACCGACCGTTGGTTATCGATCGGCAGAGATCAGTTGTCTGACAAGTTGTGAACGAAGAAAGACATCTTCGCACAACATATGTATTCAAATTTATAAGAGTTCCATTTAGTTTATAATAGATATATATTGTACTCTGTTATACAGTTATATATTTATATGTGTATTCTTTCTTAATAAATATGAATCTCGAAGCGACACCTGGACGCAACATACTATAGTCTATAGTTTATAGTATGTACCATTAACGTTTCAATTCAAGTAGAACTTGTGAGCGATAGGCAGACATATGGGCCAACTGTATAGAGAAATTTTCTTCTATCTCTCGATCTGTTTCTCCGCGTGAGAGTATCCGATTATCAATTTTGCTGTCATTTACTGGACATTATGTATAACAACCTTTTTGTATAATATAACCTTGTCCGATTTTTTGCATTTATACACGATTGTCTAAAAAACTCGTTATACAACACCGTTTAATAATAATCTTTTTACTTTATTCAGGTTTCGATAAGAGTCTCAAAAAAAAAATAAACACATTTCCATCCAATTCTAGTTGCCAGAAATTTTCCTAAAAAGTCTGTATTCTCACAAATATCCTGCAGTCTATCAAATCATTATTTTAGCGTGCGTTCGAAAACGTGTTCACAGAGGACACCTAAGGTAAGGATCTCTCAGAACCACCCCTCTGGAATCAGGTTTGGCACCACACACCTTCCGGTGGCTTCTATAAAATACCTTTATTTAATGCATATACATAGACAGTTACAAATAGCGATATATCGTACATTACAGAATAATCGTTAATTTAAAAATTCAACGTTACGCGGGTTCGTTGCGCCCGGGGCGGGCGTTGATTGGCAGTTTGCGCCGGGGACTTCTGGCTGAAGAGATATAGGGTAGTCGTAAAATCAACCGGCAGTTAAATCTGTTCATATTTTCGGGCACGTGGGTTCGTATAAAGTGCCTAGACTCTGTTTCAGTTCAAATTACAATATTCCAACCACAAGATCATCAGATACGTACGCATTGTAATTAGCATCTGCCATGTCGGAGTTTCTTCCTATCTTTAAATATCCATACGCGTTGAATTATATCAGAAAATACATTATTTCGCCACAAAATCACCTCGATCGGTCGTTGAAGCGATATTTTCTCGATCAGTTGACACAATTCCGCGAATGCCTTCATTACCTAACACCTCCTTCCTGTATAGGACAACCAACAACCGACTGGCACTACCGAATACCATAGATAGCGATGATACGCAGGTGACAAACCGCGATGTTACAACGGAAACAACGTATTTTCCAGTCTACTTCAGTATCATTAAACCTCTGAATACACAAACAACTTACAACGGCGCAAATGCCAACTACAATGCGCGCCATTTCTGCTGGCAACAAGATAGGCTCTAGCTACCAGGGCTATCTTTTCAAGGCAACAAGAAGAACTGTTGTACATAGCAATGCGTGTTATTCAATCAATAGGACCCAAGGATCTTAGGACCACACTATGCCGTTCCCACTGACTACAGGTCCCCGTACTTTTTGGCATCAGGCATATATCATCTCCAACTCCGGCTGCGCACGGTAGCCGGTCTTGTCTTCGCGTGCGGCACCGATGGGAGACGCGCGATTAACTTATCTAAACAGGTTCTTCGAATATCTCGTTATATATATATATATATATATTTATATACACAGAGTCGTTAGTTCCCTGCATCACATCACATCGACGTATCGCGACGCGCCTGTACCCTAAGCCGTATTCGAGAACTCTGATCCTCGTTCAGGCTTGCGGGACCAGCCCCTTCTACGGAACTGGTAGGACCCGCGTCTGTTAGGTGTCCGTTCTCTGCCGTGTTGTCTCTGATTATGATAATCGGGATAATGTTGAGGCGGGTACTGAATGTTGCCAACCGTTTCTCTCTGGCCGTTCGACGCATATGGCGTTAGCGTCCTCTCGCGCGGGTTCTCCGTGATCCTACGGCGAAGACAGACCGTGCAACGACTGACGCGCGACGTGTGGTCCGCCTTTAGGGTCTGTTGCAACGGCTTGCGGAACATCTCGTAGTCCTTGATGGTGGCCAGCCAATAGGACGTGGCAGTGGAGAAGTAGTTGCATGTGCCCAGGCCACGGCACTCGATGAACGGCCTCACGCGGAACTCCTCGAGACAGGAGCCGGGCGAGATCAACGATTGACCACCGCCACCTGCGCCTGCATCTCGGTGCTGAAAATTATGGTTTGGGTTAGACGGTTTGGAATACCTTGGGTAACTCTATCCCTAGACCCTTTGGTCTTTGAGTAGGCTGGGCATTACATCGCCTGGGTCGTGGCTTTGAGGGGGGAGGGGTACCGAAATTCCCTCTCCTGGGAGACCATGTGCACACTAATCATTAGACGGTTTGGAAGGTCCACTGAAGCTGTTGGGTTCGACAGATTTGGTGAAACTGTGGTTATTAGAGGATTCTGGATGTTTTGGGGGGAAATTGCTTTTTCGAAGCGAGAAACTGATGTTTGTTATTGATGTAAAATTGAACTGTTTTGCGTTTGTTCTTGTTCAATATGGTAGAGCGTTTTTGAGTTAGAAAGGAGTATAGGGGCTAGAGCAAGGACTCGCCTGCGGATCAGATTTTATAGGCTGTGCGCAGTTGACTCATACTTTGATTAGTCGTTGGGTTTGTTTCCACTTTCGTGCAAGGCCTTTGAAGGTTCCTCTGTTAGGAACAAGGCGGATTTTTGTTTGAGACTTGACCTATTCACCAGTCGCTGTGGAAGACACAGATGGGACAGTGGGGACAGGCTGCGCGGAAGAGGTCCTTTCTCCCGCGGAATAGAGTTTAATAGTGATGCGACAAGTTTTTGCAATTTTCACCTATATGTGATCTTTATTAGTCGTCTTTGGTTATCCAAAATGTGGATCATCATCTGTATTAGAATCGACTGATTGACAACATCAGGAACCATATTACCCCTTGTCTTAGAATTTTTCGTGACAATTTCACCCTCCAGAAATACTTTATTGTTAATAATATCCCAGATACAAAAGGAGTTTTAACTGTAATTCTGATAATATTGAAGAACAAAGAACGTACATGGGAAGAAACAATTTTTACACATTACTCAAATTTAGAGAACTGTATAAAGAGTTATAGAGGAACAGGATTAAACCAGATGGTTGTAATAGGGTTGAAAAGATGAAAACACATTAGAGATTTTAGCTATCAATTCAATTCATAGGTCTTAGAACTCATGGTTTTCCCCAAAATCTGTTACAATTAAATGAACAACTGTATTTAAAAATGTTTCGAAGCAATCGAGTTTTTTGTTAAGTATAACTAATGAAGTTTCATTATAATTACGACGAATGTTTTAAGAAGTTTGCTTACCATCAGGAAACTGTAGCCGATCCAGAGTTCCTCCCAACCGCCAGGACACTCCGGTATAGACATGGATTGGCTGTGGACAGCAATAACTCGGGTCGGCGCTTCGCAAACGGAGCACCTGGAGATATATCTGCCGACTTCCGGTGCCGGTATCGGCGTCATCGACATGGGCATCGGTTCCGTGGTGCTCAACCAGTAGCTGTAGTCGTTACGTTGCGCGTAGTCGCAAACGTTGTTGATGTTGCAGAACATGAAAGGCATGGTGGAGAATCTACTGACGCAGCTACCCGCGGCACCTGACCGGAAATGAACGTATTGAAAATATTACAAATACATTCGAGCAACTTCAATTTTAATTCGTCAAATGTACAGGTGAATGATCTATTATATTTACAAAATTCTAAATTTGCTTCCAAATTGTAATGACTGGCCTGCTGATTTTATGTATTTATTGCGAGTATGAGCGTGCGAAACACAATACAGTAAAAAATTTAATGAAGATTCTTACTTCATTTTGGACCTTAAAACACTTTCCATAAAGGACATAAAGAATGTCTTACTTAATTACAGTTTAATAAATTACTCTAAAAAAAATGTAAGTTTGCATAAAGATCAGCCGTCTAGTCGTGATACTTGTTAGTAATTACCATCATCGTGCACCGTTACAGACTACATCTCAGATAGCACATGACGCCTCTAAGACGCCCATTTTATAGCTATTTCAGGTTTAAGGCGCCTTTAAGCCGTCTGCAAGGTGTCATTGGGCGTCAATGCTATTTGGGATATTACTAAAAATCGTAGTAATTGAATGAACTTTATATGGATTGTGAAATTTAACAAAATAATATTTTTTATTGAACATGAGTACTCTTAAAGCTGAAGAATAATTTCTGTTCTCCGAGAATGACTATTCATTGTGTTATAGTAGATACGGCTGGAGCTTACCCTTTACTCAATACATTCCTTTTTTATGCGTGCATTATATCTGCCCTATATTTCGCGTAGTAAAATCGTAATAATACTGATAATAATAATAATAATAATAGATAAAAAAATTTCTATCGACTATTTCTGTGTATTTTAGTTATATAAAATTTTATCAGAATCGAATGACGTTTCTACGTATCATTTAGTTTAATACACGAATTTAAGAGTTTCTTATCTTTAACAATGCAGTCAGTAGCCTGACACAATGAAGGTTTGATTGATAAATCAATGTTTTAGTGACACAGTAATAATATAATGCGAAATTTTATAATCATCCAATACGGATTTAAATGAAGAGATTTCTTTCATACCTAGATCTTGTGCGTAAGGATATCCATTGCCCATTATATGTAATAGCGAGAAACCTTCCCAGATTTTGACAGTGTTCCTAGGACATTGCGGTATCATTTCGGATTGCGAGTGTCGAGCAAAGTGGAAGCCTCTGTTTCGTGGGCCTGGGGCCGGAGGTGCTGGTGGTCCTGGTACTCCAGGGAATCCTAGAAACATTTACAAATTTTTATTTTTTTTCCATGTTAGATTCTTAATTGTAATTCAAAGAGAATAATTAATTTGAAAATGTGAGATCCATATGATTAACCCTTAATTGTCGAGGTAAAAGTCTTATTATTGATTATTTATTCCTCATTGTATAACTAGTTGTTTCGAATTATCATGTAAGAAAACATCGAAATGAACAGGCATTTGTTTAAGTAATTATTGTATAAAAATAAAATATTCTAAAAATATTCGTAGGGTTCCCGAGACCTTACGTCATCGGTCAATGCTAAAAATAAATTTTTCTTCAACTCCAGAGTTATTGATCGTGTTACATCGTTGTATTATCAAATGTATATTTTAACCCTTAGAGTACAGTGGGCGGATCTACGCTGTATCTACGCATCCACGTATGTATTCACTCAGCAAAAGCCATCGGTGTTGCCTACAGGCGCATTTATTCGCTCAGAATGATACGTTTGCTACGAATCGGGGATATATGCGCTCAGCAAATATCGTTCCAGTACAGTGTTAATATCGATTTAGTATCGAATAAAAATTTACCTGGTATTTCCGAGTGAAGCAAATAAAGACAAATTTATGTTCAGGGAAATTTTTCCCTCTTTCACAGTTTTGTACAGGGTTCGACCGAATAAATGTAATAAATGTAACACTTGCCATAAGAATAGAATTCTTTTTATGGCCGGGAAAATATTAACGATAAAGTAATTGTTGAGAGTGGGGTTAAGTAAATATAATCAGTTTCACTTAACCGTTTTAGAATTTTTTAAATTTTCTTGTGTAACAATTACGTTAAATAGTGGAATTGTACCTTGAGTTCCTTGTCGTCCAACAGCACCATGCTGACCAGGATAACCTGCAGGACCTTCTTTACCATCTGGCCCTTCAGGTCCCGGCAAACCCACCATTCCTTGTTCTCCTCTTCTTCCAGGAAGACCATCTTTGCCTGGCTCGCCCATCATTCCTTGAAGCCCAGAGAAGCCTACGACAAAAATCGTGTCAGTTATATATTAAACGGTGTTAGAATTGTGTAATTAGCTCCTTGCGCCACCATTGCAGACTACATATTACTCAAAATCGTTGTCATTAAATAAACCTTATATGGATTGTGAACTTTAACAAAATAATTTATTTTATTGAACATGACTATTCTTAAAGTTAAGAATAGTTCTCTGAATGTGACTATGCATTGTTTTATAGTACTACGGCTGCAGCTCACCCCTTACGCATTACAGACTCCTCTCGATTATCGTCCCAAACTTGGGTCCGCGCCGGGACAATAATCTTATAGGGAGAAATGTTTCAGACCTTCGTAAATTCGTTTTTTGCCCGAATCCTGAGCTTCGGCAACAAAGTATGCGCTTGACAAGTTTTACGGCCTCCTCCCCCCCCTCCCAGTGGTGGGGATAACGCCTGGACAATAATCGTGTAGAACAAGCCAGACGATAATCGAAAGGAATCTGTATATCTGTCTTTATGTGTGCATTGCATCTGTTCTATATTTCGCGTAGTAAAGTCGTAATAATAATAATAGATAAAAAATATCTGCCGACTATTTCGTATAGTTTAGTTCGATAAAATTTTACCAAAATCAAATTTTTTAACTAATTCCTTGCGCTTATAATTGTACCTGGTAATCCTTCAGAGCCTGTGTCACCGGGTTGTCCTTTCCTTGGGAAAGGCGGGAATGGATTTTTGCCACGCTCTCCTTTCGGTCCCTGTTACGTGAAGTTGGAAAGTGTTGTATAAGAAATCTTTTATAATACATTTTGAAAGATACTTATTTTATGACACATGGGACTAAATTAAGTGACAGAAAAGATTGGAAAATTTTTTGACCATGTTTTGTAATTTTATTTAACAGCGAAAGGGTTAACGAAATTCTAAATTTCAGATTAGTATAGGGTAATACTGTCGGAAGAAAGTAATGTGGAAATAAGTATTTACTAACCTGTGGGCCTAGAGGCCCATTCGGTCCGGGTAAACCGTGCTCTCCTTCATCGCCACGTTCTCCCTTGTTTCCAGGCAACCCTCTAAATCCAGGAAGACCTGAATCACCCCTTTCACCTTTGCGCCCTTCTCTTCCGTCGAATCCAGGGGGTCCACTGTCTCCAGGCTGTCCGTTTATAGTGATTCCGTGTACTCCAGCCTCTCCACGATAACCTTTTGGTCCCGGTAGTCCGGGTAGGCTTGGCAATCCTTGCAACCCTGGGGCTCCAGGGTAACCAGTGAAACCTTTCGGACCTGAGGATACGCAAACAGCAACAATTTGATACAGTGATCTTTTCGTTGTGGACTATGATTAAAAACATTCCAAAAAAAACCTTTAACACGTAACTTTAAAAACTATTGGATCATTTAGGGAATATTCTGGAAAGTATTCTTGAATTTTATCAGATTTTTGGAAGCTTACAAGATAATACAAAATAGGTCTGAACATAAAAGACTCAGGCACGTGACAGAAGCAGTATAAATAACGGGGGTCACGGAGGATTAAAGAATAGGGTACGGAATAGTGACCTTGATCTCCGGGAAATCCTTTGGGGCCTCGGAAGCTTAGACCAGATTCTCCACGAATTCCTTTGGGACCATCGGATCCGTAATCACCAGGTGCACCCTTTTGTCCCGGAACTCCTGGAATACCGGGCACTCCATCCAATCCGGGTCGTCCATCTTCGCCTGGTTCGGCGTACTGAGGATAAGCTCCTGAAATGTTGCGTTTCATTATACCAATATCTTATTCATATTAAGATAACGCTGATCCATTCTTTGGTCATGATTTTAGTAACGGATGAATGTATTATATTCTTACCTGGTAAACCTGGACGTCCCTGATTACCAGGAAGACCTGGCAGTCCTTGTAATCCTGGGAAGCCATCGGATCCATAGTATCCAGCGTCACCCACCACTCCCTAAAATCATTTGCACAAGTTTGTTATAAATGTTACGTATTTTAATAAAGAAATTTCATTTTGCGCATACGATGAATCGAATGAATAAATTTTACTATCCGCATGAAAGCATGAATTGTGAAATATTCTGGGGTAATAATTGTTATAATGATATACAAATATTATGAGTGATAGGAATACAGTAAATCTTCGATGAGTGTTCGAAGGCTCCTAGGCACTGAGCATTAAATATTTCATAAACTAATGGCCATATGCAGCTGAAGAAAATATCATTGACTACCGAAGTCCAAGCCCTGTCAATGTGCTAAACCTCATTAAAAAGTCAACGTTACACCTGGGGACTTTTCCTTGTTAATGTCGCGAAGCCTTTGGACACTCATCGATCATTTACTGTATTATTTTCATTTACATTAAAATATTAATAGTGTTGTATTACTGATTGTTAAACCGTTTTCGTTGTGGTCAGGATATAATTAATAAGATAGAAGCATGTTGATGATTTAATCTACCTTTCGACCAGATACTCCTTGGAAGCCTTGATCACCTGTCTCTCCTTTTACACCTGGTAGACCATCTAGACCAGGATTTCCGAAGTCACCCTTTTCTGCTGTAGCGAATGATGGAAAACCAGGTTCACCTATGTGACCCTTTGGCCCAGGTGTACCCATTAAACCGGGGATACCTCGAGGACCTTCATCGCCGGGCATTCCTACACAAAAATCACGTTAATTGTACACAATATTCTTATGATTATATGAATTACATAATGTTATTACGTTATATAACATTACCATAGTATTACATCATACAACATCATTGTACAGGGTGTTAATAAAAATGTGGAACCACTTTCATAAGATGGATTCTACAAGGTGTTTCGTTTGACTGGAAACTGTAGAATATCTCACGAGGGATTAAATTTATCGAAAAAGAAATGTTCGTACAAAAATTGTTTGGTATAAAGGGGAACATTATGTGCTTGAATAATTTTTCTGTAACTGTAGTAGTAAGAGAGATGTTAAAGTCACGTTGAATGGAACCCTGTATTTTTTTATTCATAATATGATAGCGTTTGTTCAGACAATTCATTCTATGAAAGTGTCCCACATTTTTATTAACACCCTATGTAACATTATTATAGAACATTATAACAGTATTACTTTCCAAATGTTAATATTATTTATCGTCGATATAAAGCCTACCTGGTAGACCCATTTGACCGGGATCACCATCCAATCCTGGTTTACCTTTGGGACCATGTGAACCAGGCGGTCCCATTGGTCCTCGTTCACCTTTTACACCGTATCTGCCGGGGCTGCCAGGTGCTCCTGGTCTTCCCTGGAATCCCCAATCTCCCCTAGGTCCCTTCAATCCATCCAGTCCCATGTCACCAATTTCTCCCTGAACAAAAACACGAGTTTCCAATTTAAAATTCCCTTTTTTTGTTCAATATAAACTTTATTCAGTAACTGGTCATTAAGAATGTGCATGTTTATGTAAATTCAAAATTTTAAACATCAATTCATTGAAATCATAATTAGACAAAACATTATTTCTGTAATGTAATTTACATACAAATATTACTAAATTTTATCGATGTTTTTATTTTACCGCTTTATCCGGGTTAATATTTATCCTATAATTTATAAACATCCGACAGCTTACATAGTATTATAATAAGACAATAACGTCTCAGCGTCAATGTTGTCTCATTCGTAAGAATGCCAGGTTCACGATTAACGAATTTGGGAGTTGCTCTCCCTACCTTTTCATAAAAATGACAATTATACTACGCGTATATATGCAAAGTTACAACATTGGATATTGATATATAAAAATCGAAATTGAACAGAATTTTACTTCCTGCGCTAGGGATTTTAATATGTTACTAATTAACACATAAATACTATTAAATCGTGTTAAAGTCTTCATTTCAAAAGGAATGTTATAAATACATAAACATCCGTAGTTTATGATTATATAGGGTGGAGTAATAAATATTTACAGAAAACTTCCGTCTTCCTTTACGACATTGGTGTCGATCAAAGATATTTCACGGTCAATCCAGAATTTTTGCACGTTATTAAACAGGAAAAATAGAGATAAACGACAATCCAAATTTTCCCTATTACTACCATCCTGGTCGAGGTAGTGGTTTGGGACATAGTACAAACTGTTTCTTTCTTGACAAGCTATCGAATGGCACATCTCAAATCTAAATCGGTCTAAGGCTACCTTTGATCCCCTTGACCTGCTATACTCTTTCAAATATACAGTGTCATTTACATACCTTTGGTCCAGGTATTCCGTGGCGTCCATCGAAACCCGGTTCACCTTTTGCTCCCCATAGACCGTCGAAACCGTCCGTAGCTATTCCAGGTTCACCAGATAAACCAGGTCGACCGTCCACGCCGGGGAATCCAGGTGCTCCGACCTCTCCCATGAAACCAGGTTCACCTTGGTCACCTTGGGGCCCACTGAAGGCATTCTCACCGGGAAGTCCATCGAGGCCGTCTGGACCAGGATTGCCGAGAAGACCCTTGAATCCACGTAGACCAGGGTCACCGAATGGACCTGGTGGCCCGGCATCCCCTAACTCTCCTTTAAGGCCGTATACTCCAGGAAGTCCTTCCGGTCCAGGCCAACCGGGTAGACCAGAGTCACCGATCTCACCGACGTCACCGTCTTCACCTGGTGGACCCGGAAGACCCGGCATACCGTCTCTTCCCAGGTAACCAACTGGGCCAACGTCACCGTCGTCGCCTCTGCGCCCGACGAAGCCAATCTCTCCTTTCAAGCCCTTCATCCCGTCGAATCCGGGCGAACCGTCAGGACCTAAACGAAGTGAATTGATGTAAGAGAATAATTAGAATTCTCATAATTAAGTAATGATAATAAATATATTGTGGATCCTTATGCGAATAGCAAACTTAAAAGGTTTGTTTGGGGGAAACTGGAAACAAAATCGCTTTACTGTATTAAAGGATGAGGTTTTATATAAAATGTAAATCGTAGTAAAATTTATTGGATTTCTCAATACAGGGTGTTCCACTCGACGTGAGCACCTTAAATATATCACTTGCTTTTGATTTGCAGAAAGTTTATTTTAACAAATGCTCAAAGCGATGTGTATCAACTTCGATACATTTTTGTACTAATTTCTTTATCCTAGTTACTTCAGTATTTAAATCTATTCTCATACGTTTGTGGATTTTTCGTACTCAAGGTCACACGAAGGTCACACTATTATAGGTCATTGGATTGGTCTTGATCTCAACTATTAAAAAACATCGATGATTTTAAAATTTCGAAAAATGTGACCTTGAGAATAATTTTTACTTGTCATAGTATTTGTTCCTCTTAACTAAATAATACTTTCCCCTCACATTGTTTGTATTTTCAAAAACAAGTGAGTATTGAAGACGCTCACGTTAGGTGGAACACCAATCAGTCTACGTCGATTAGATTATTTTTTGCAGGAGATGTCTGGGATTTTGTTCCAATTCAAATATATTGCTGTCCATGTGAAATTGGGGAACGTTCATGTCATTGTTTTGCTAGTTTTGAAATTGTCTAAAAAATGGAGACCCTCATATTTGGCGAGTTTTCAAGAGCTGCATTTGCAAATAAATTTTTCGTTGTGCAACCATAAAACCAACTACATCTTTTTAGCTTTTAATTATGATAGATTGTTCTTGTAATTGGATTTTTTTTTCATTGGCAAAGTCATTTTAGTAGCTTCAAAATTTAGCTATTGATTAAAGCAGAGAGTAATGAAAACTCTGTAGTTTAACGAAAAACAATTTTTTTATATTTCATAGTTTTTTTTAACATATTAAAATTTCTAAACATATCTTCCGTAACAAAAACAATAATATTCAAATAGAATGTTATGATGTTGAAAACGAGATTTAAACGTGTTAAAACTACCATTTTCTTGGTGTCTTAGACGTTTTTGGCCGCATTAATCTTAGAAAGTTGAATTAGTTTTAAATCTGTGATGAAGCGTAGGATTTTTTATATTTTGTCGTGGTATAAATGTGATCGCGCATGTCATCGGATTCTCCATGGGATGATCAGTTCGGAATAGGTTCGACAATCCATGGAATTGTCAGATCAGTATAAACAAGGATTAGTAGTAACCCACGACAGCAATAAATGGCCGATACATACGCTTTGGACGATACGCGTATTCCCGCTGGCAACAGCGGAAAACGTTAAGTTAACAAACTGTGAATATCCATGGTTACCGTAACTGGACAGATAATTGTTTCACGCGATAAAAAATTATTTATGTCGGCACGTGACCTGAGAATATAGTTCGGTTGTCAAATGAAAATTATTTGCGACAGATTTTATAGAGCTTTGCAAACTATTTTACAAGAAACGAAAATTCATTTTATAAGTGACGATTTATAATAATAATCGTTAAAAAATTGTACGTTGATTTAACAATTCATTTTGTATAATAGATATATTTTTCGTTAGTATGATTTCGCCATCACTTCCTACTTATGTAGTCGTTAATTTTTACATTTACATTGCACTTTCCTTTTTCAACATTAATTTTTAAATACCAAGTACGTACAAGTACATGTATTTCTTTGTGTTTATATAAATCGGACTTCCAAGTTAATGATAAAATTTTTCTTACGTAATTCTTTACACGTTACGTTTTTATTAAATAAAATAAATAAAGTGACAGTATTAAGGACACTGGCAGTAATTGGGACATTTACCCTAGTAATGTATTCCAGAAAAAAAAGTTCAGAACTGTTGCAGCAGTATAATATTTTGTTAAATGGGATACACAGCAAATAAATTAGCGTACCTTGAGTTCCGACTTCTCCGATTCTTCCAGGCATTCCAGGTTGGCCAGGTATCCCTGGGAATCCTCGAGAACCTTGTACACTATCGCCTCGTTGACCTTTGGCTCCCTATCGAACGTTGCAACCCGTGAAATCCAAGAATAAAATGTGCATGCAACTTCTTCCTATTACCAATTGTGTAATTTTACCTGGAGGCCAGGCAGACCAGCTAGACCAGGAGCTCCTTTACTACCTCTGATACCTTTCGGCCCGTCTGTTCCGGGTCTTCCGCGTAAACCCGTCGGACCAGCGTCGCCGATGTCTCCCTTGTCACCCCACATACCTTGTTCACCGATGTCACCGTACGTTTGATTCGTGCCTGGGTCACCGCGATCACCTTTGTTACCTAGGCGACCCTATAAAGCAATTTATACCGATCAGAAGAGACATAGTACATCAAACTTTGTGTTTCTAAACCAATTCCCACTGATAATGGCTCTTCGGTATCCCAAAAATTCTGCTTTCTTTTAAACTCTGCAAGTTTGTAGGAGATTCAATAGAAGTATCGGGCAATTTTTCGTTTTTGCTGATATTCGGTTCTTGATATCCACCCCTTAAATGTTAATGTGTGTTTTTATATTTTCCTGTATATCCTGAAAATTATTGGAGATATCAGAAAACTGTTTCGATGTCAATTTAACGGTTTATTACGCTCTATAAGACTGTTTAATGAGATGATTAAAGATGAAATGATTAAACAAATTTTTAATGATATCATTGAGAAGTTTTATAGAGCATAAAAATTGATTAAATTTTCATGTCAATAGTCTTTTTATATTTATTGTAGTTTTGAAAATATACTGGAAAATATATGGGGTGGCTTCACCCTGATGAGCAAATATCAGCAAAAACGAAAAATTGCAAGATGCTTCTATTGAGGTCCCCTACAAACTTGCGGAATTTAAAAAAATCGGAATTTTCGAGGTAGCGAAGTATCAATTCGATCGACATGACACCTATATTACATTACCTGCGCCAGGTATTGTAGATTTAAGAAATAGTTTAATTAATTATCTTTACTCATAAAACAATTGAATTCTACATCGATCGTGTATGCAGTCTGAACAAACGGTGGAATTGGGTGATTAAATGTACAGTACTTATATAATTATAATTATTTAGTATAAGGAATTGATTTACTATAGTCTATTAAAAAAATATAAACATGTTCTCTAGGATTCGATACATACCGGATAACCAACAGGCCCTTCCATTCCCGGAGTACCAGGCGAACCACGTGGACCTTGATCTCCTGGTATGCCTGGGTATCCTTTTAGTCCTCCAGGACCTTGACGCGATATACCCGGGGAGCCAGGTATTCCTGGTGAACCAGGATATCCTTCGTCACCTGCTCGCCCTAGATCACCTTTCAAACCGTCGTCTCCTACAAAAAAATTTAAACACGCCATTTATACGACAGTGCTGTGCAAAAGTCCCAGACCATCTACATATTTTCAATCGCCATAACAAGTATAACGAAAAAAAATTCAGACACTGGTAGCAATTTTGGTTACCTCTACCGCAAGTAAGTATTCAGATAACCAGGTGTGTACAAGTTGCGAGCAAATTGCCAGCAACAAATGACAAAAGTTGTCTAAAAAAACCATAGCCATCTGTTTCCATATTTGACTTGGGTTTTGCAGGCAACGCCAGCTGACAAAATGGTAAAGCAAATTGGCAGAAATTCTTGCAACATGACTTATGTCAAATTGAGGGCAAAACTGGAACAATGTTGCTGTCAATTTGCTGCCTATGTTGTTGCCAATGTGTGCGCAAGTTGTTTATAGCAAATCTTGCATCAAACTTGTAGCCATAACTTTATAACAGGCATTGGACAAAATTTGGCTTTGCAGGTTTGGCTGACTGGGTATCTACATTTAACCCTCAACTACAGACCATTCGTCTCAAGGACGAATGATTTATTTACTAATTTTTTTCTTATAATTGCATAAAGAATATCATGAGCCTTAATTTTTACGTGCTGGTTTGGACATTTTGATTTAGAATTATTGCCCATTAAAGTTGAGGTTATTCTATTTTGTCCAATTTATAGATTATTTACTTATGTCTGCTGCTTAATGTTACATGCCTCACAAAAAGCATTGATACTTCTTGGTGCCTCTAATGTTATAACCTTTAAGAAATGTCGTAATGCAGTAGGGAGGGGTCTAATTAAGTTCAGAGTGTTTGAAATACAGTTTCACGATGGTCTGAGAATTTTGGGCAGTTCCATAACAAATAGTTAAAATATTGGTATAGGTAGGAACACGTGCATTGTGGGTAGCAACGAATTTGAATTTTTCAATTGATAACGAGTATTACACTACCGTTTCTGGAACGTTAACGAAAACTGTCATTTGGAAGTTTATCGAAACTCAGAGACGAGTCGTCTGTAGCTAAGGGTTAAAGCAAACGGTGATCGTTTTCGTTCTCACCTGGAAAACCGACTTCCCCTTTTGGTCCCTTGTCTCCTTGACTGTGAATGTCGCGTTCGGAGGCATCTCCGGGTTGTCCTTTCGCGCCTTTCTCACCCTCCGCACCCTTGGATCCTGGGGTACCCGGGTATCCTGGATCTCCCGTCAGATACTCGATCGGTATCGGTGCTTCATCACCTTTCTCACCAGGAACACCGTCCATACCTGAGAAACCGTCCCGACCAGGAAATCCTGCAGGCCCGTAATCACCCTGAAAGCACGTAATCGTCAGGTTGCAAGAATCGCTCCACTCTAGACTAATTGATTGTTCCCGTTTCTTTGTTTCCACTGATTTATAGGAGCACGATATACAGGGTGACTCAGCTAACTTGATCACCTCGAAGAATGATTTAATGGTACACATTATGAAAATTTTGAGGCGCGAAACTTAAATAGCATCATGGGGTACATCTTATAAGGTACGTGTTTTTTTGTGGGTGGAGGCATTTGAGAGATTTCAAGGTCATCTTGATTTTTTTTAATGGAATTTGTATCAAAAAATGAAAAAACTTTAACACAGATCTAATAACTATAAAATTGAGCCATAAATATCTTCCAATGTAGGCATTCAAGAATTAATAAATAATAATTGAGATTATTATAATAAAGATATAAATTTAGAACAGGAAAACGGAAGTTATTTATGATTCAATCTAATAATTAGATGTTACAAATTCAGCCACTCCCGTCGGTTTAAGGTACACGCGTACGTCAGTATAAAGTCATTGCTTATTAAATAAAAAATAAATATATTAACTTGATCTCTCGTGTTTCATTAACTCTCCACGAACCTCGTTATTTTTACTGCTTTCATTATCCCCCTTGGACCTTTTAAGTCCAGACCTATTTTTCGTTATCTTATAATCTTCCAAAAGTTTAACAAAATTCAGGAATAATTCCCAGGGCCTTTATTACACGATTCAATAATTTTTTAAATTAAATGTTAAAAGATAAATTTTTTAATAACAATCCCTTCGTCTTGGAGATATTTCAGCGCGAAATTCCGTTTGTATCATACAAACCCCAGGGGCTCGCGTGGGGTTAGTAGGTATGCCTTAAAAGTTTGAAGTTAATCAGACAAGTAGTTTTCGTTTTATAAGACTTTAAGGCAATCACTACGAAACAATGAATTCGTTTAAATTAATAATTACCGCCTGTAACATAAATTTATCAGTGCATGACTAACGGATTCCGGGGTTGGAAATATGTACCTTTTCTCCTTTAGGTCCTGGTGGACCGGTATCACCAGAGAGACCAACTTCTCCTTTCGGTCCTCGTAGCCCTTCCACGCCAGGGAAACCTTTGTCACCAACGTCGCCGACTTCACCGATTAATTTTTCACGAGGCAGTTTGATTTTTCCCCTTTCTCCTTTGGGCCCTTGGGCGCCAGCGATTCCTGGCCTTCCGCTATCACCTTCCAATCCTCTTGGTCCTTCATTACCAGGCTTCCCGTAACCTCCCTTCAGTCCACGAGCTCCAGTCTGTCCAGGGAACCCAGGTGATCCAGGATAACCGTTCAGACCGCCGTCACCACGCTCACCCTTTTCACCAGGTCGACCTACGTAAATGATAATACAGTAAAACCAACAATCTCGAATTAATTGGAAGACACGAGTGTAAAAATAATATTATAAACTATTTAAATATTTTAAATTTCTTTTTGAACGTTTAGAACAAAAAGAACGACTACAGAATCTTTCGGAAATTTTGTTCGATCTGTGAACATGCTCGAAGACTTTTTCTGATCTCTGTTTAATCTTGAATGTTGTATATAGAGATATCAATCTTGACATTAATATTTTACCTAAATAACAGCGATTGTTCCATTCTATTACTTTCGATATTGGCGAGAACATTTTTTACTTTCATACGTGAATAATACCTACGTGAGACGTTTAGTTTGTTTAAGCGAATACTTCTTGCAGGGGATAGTATTGAGAACTGACAGCTTTAATAGACCATATAAGCTACAGATTCATGTTGATTTATCAGTAATATACGGTATAAATAATAGAAGTGGTAATAAAAAGACGTAGTAATATATATAAAATAAATAAAGCACGATGATAAATATTGTTACAATATCGCAGTTATTACGTTCAGAATCTACAAACAAAATTTTATTACTTTTTACTAAAGGTTTTATTCCGTTGTATTATACACGATCGTTTGCGGAACAAATGCATAAAACCCGCAGTCTAGTCACCACCATTAGTCGCGCTAGTAAATTGATATTGTCTTGACTGTGGCAAATGGAGCGAAACTATAGGATAATGTAACCTATTATCCCACAGATCTTCAAAGAAACATTCAGGGTACCGTATATCATTGTGAAACATTTTGATAAATTTTTGTTTCCTTTAAATAAAATACCAAATTTTTCTCTCAATTTCTATCTAATTTTTGTCATTCTACAAACTTAATCATGCATTTTATACATGTCCGTTACTAAGTATTAACTTCTAAAATGAAATTTCTATTGGTTAGGCATCGTCGACTGTAAATAAATTATAAATGTTTTTTTCTCTTATTCCATTATACATATTCAATATTAATTATGTTGTTCATTCGGTAATGAACAAAGTTAAGAAAACAAATTCATTAAGCTTCATTGTTATACATTCGTTTGAACGACAAATACTTCGTTGCAGCGGTACAGAGACGAAAATCACAATTGACCGTTTTTTTCATGTACTGGATTTCCGTTTTTCCGTGTTTGAACGACGGTTTGAAAAGCCTTTGTTTCATGATTGCACGATTGAACGTACCTGGTGCACAAACGCCGCAGTCGTCGCCCTTTAGGCCCCTTGTGCCTATGGCACCTGGACTACCTGGCCATCCGTCCGGACCCGGAAGTCCTGGCAATCCTGGTAATCCACGCTCGCCTGGAGGACCGCGAATTCGGATACCTTTGCCCGGAAAACCTTTCAGACCTATTTAATCAAGATAACGAATTGTCACCATTATCACTAAATTTCAACGAAAACTTAACAATGACGGTTATAATTGGATTGCGGTAATATAATTGTAGAACAAACATTAACAAAGCTTCTTTATTTATTTTTCACTAAGATTCTGGTTTCTTTGTAAAACAATACGTGGAAATATGAATTTTCATAAAAGTCCGCAACCTAACCATAATAAATATGTTGTTTAAATTAAGATGTAAAAAATGAAGATAAGAAAACGTAGATGAACTTGATAATACTAATTGGTTTTGTATATGGTATTGTTGCGTTAGCGTAAAACGCAATTAATGAAACTATTTGAATATATATAGTAGTGATCGAATTTGTGTTAATGGGGCTTAAGGGATTGAAAACGTATCAAATTGTATTTATAAGAAGTTACCCAATGAACGCAATAAAAAAAAACAACAAACATTAAATTTTACATAACAAACACGAACAATACTACATCTTTATCCCCTTTCATTTCAACGTAAAATTCTTAATATTGTGCCATTCAGAGTAATTCTAAGACTTTGTAATTTATTAAGCTTAGCAGATTGAAAACAATCGTTACCAGGAAGACCGTGGTCGCCACGATCCCCAGGTGTTCCCAGGAGACCAGGTATTCCGGGCTTTCCGTCGAAACCTGGTGGACCAACGATCGTTATACCGGGGAAACCTTTTAGCCCGGCTTCTCCAGGCAGACCAGGTAAACCGGACGGTCCTTGGTTGCCCATCGGTCCAGGAAGACCTAGAAAACCGGAAAATTGATACATTTTTCACGACGATTTCGATGCATTGTCGACGATTCGTATTGATACTGTTTAATACATGCCATCGGATCCTGGCTCTCCTTTCACGGAAGATCCTTTCGGTCCCGAGAATCCAGGAATACCTGCGGGTCCGGGTGGACCAGGTGGCCCGATGTAACCTACTTTGCCAGGTAAACCGGGCGTTCCTGAGTGTCCCGGTAATCCGGGTGGACCTAGACGAAGGAAGCAATTGTTAGATCTCCTGTGTTTACGTTATTTCATCCTCAGACACCACACTGATGCTAATTTGTACCGGCGAAACATTGTTTCACCTGTAACATTCTACAGTAATGTCTCAGTGCGACGTACTCGAGTCCACATCGGAGCATTCGTGGCAAGGCGGAAAGGTTTTCAGGCCCTTAAAGATTTTTTAAAAAACGCTATGGTAATGCCTTAATTCTTTGAGGCATATAATTATAAAGTAAATAAAAACCCTAGTTGCACAGAATTTTGTATGACTATGAGTAACTTCAACTTTTCGAGGTGGGTTAAAATATATCCCACCATGCATAAAAAACTAAGCAAAAGGTGGGACAGTTTTTAATCCACCTAACCCAAAAGAGTTAAAGACGTATTAAGAAATCACTGATTAGTGATTTTGGTCAGTATGGTTTACTATGGTCAAAAGAAATTTGTACATACGTTCATAATCTAACGAAGAATAAAATACGGTTTATTCTTTTTTATTAATCGAGAACGAACCTAAATCTCCTTGAATTCCGATGTTCCCCTCAATTATTTCGTCGAGTTCCGGTATGTATTTTCCGGGTTCTCCGGCAGCTCCTTGTTTACCAGGGGCTCCTTGATTACCTGGTTCTCCAAGCTCTCCCTGAATTTTAAATATGATTACTTCAACGGTAGGGCTTACTTCCACCCTTTCGTTTTATTATAATTTACATTCAATGTGACTACATAGATGTATGAATAAAGATACTTGTGAGATCTTTACTGAAAGAACTTCTTTTACGTTACTAACATAATATTTACATAATATTTACTATGTACCTATCTATATAAAACGAATCGTTGTATATTTGTGAACACTGTATGAGGGTGACAATGCAAAGTTGATGAATGAGTAGTAGAAAATTTTTTAAATCAGAATGCAACGAGGAATTTCGAAGCGTATAAATACGCGACAAAGCGTGGACGAATGGACTGTAAACGAAGCAATTTTTTAAATGAAGTTCGACACAAATATTATCACACAATACGTGAAAAAATATTCGTACACAAAGTGACACAAGAAAAATTAAAGTCGACTGATTCAGATTCTGTAGCGTATAAGGGTTCTAAAATTGTGTACAAGTAAAATTTCTACACCAATTTTAATGTTTCTTTTTTTATTACGACCATAAGCAAAGTAAAATATATTATGTGTTATTGTACTTACATCAGGTCCCGTTGGTCCAGGAGTTCCAGCGTAACCGGGAGCACCTTTGTCTCCCTTATTTCCAGGAGGACCTGACGGGCCCTCTACGCCCTGTTTACCTCTAGCCCCGTCGTCACCTTGCTCTCCCTTCATACCCTTAATACCCAGGAAACCGGCCCGACCCTGCATGAACATTTGAAGAGCATTGTGAGTAAAACTTCCATTTCCGCTGAGCAGAAATAGGGACATTTTATACTCTATATTAAATGAACTATTATTAAGTTAAATGTTTTGCAAAATACTTTTATTTAAATTTAATTATAAAGGGACGTTTAAATGTTATATCTAATAAGTTTTCTTGCCGATTTTTGCATAAATAAATAATAAAAATCAATTTCTGCGATAGCAGAACTTTTACATGATTAGAAAGAGGGACATTGACCTTACTGTTTAATAGTTTCAATTATATTATGCGAATATTACTCACCTGGAATCCTTTATCACCCCATTCTCCCTTTCGTCCGCGATCTCCGAGATCGCCGTGCCTTCCCTTGTCACCTTTGACGCCCTTTATCGGAGTGGACTCGGTTTTCTTCTTGTATGCACCGCTACTTGGCGGCCCAGGCTCACCCCTGTCTCCCTGTTCACCTGGTGAGCCTTTCGTTCCGTATACCGTTTCACCGGCCTCACCTTGCATACCCGGCAAGCCAGGGGCGCCAGGGTAACCCTAGGAGACGATTATTTTCACACATTCACGTAGGATCAGGATGGATTTTTCATTCCATCATTCCTATTATTCTGTCTATTATCAGCTCTACTGTACTAAATTTACATCCTAGACTTTTTATTTTATTATTATCGACAGAAAATATTCCATTGATCGTGATAGATTTTGTGTCAATTATGATTAACAAGAATAAATCGGAAGATAATATTATGAATATGGATGCAGAAAGTATACTCTAATGATAGGAATAAGACGAACGACATTTTGCTTGGAAACATGTTTCTCGTGATAATTATGCCACCGATTATTGTTTTAAATGTTTTCTGTGTGCATTTTCTAGGGAGTTTATATTATACTATCGTTAAACTAAAATTGAATAAAATCGAGTAATTTAATAAACAAAGGTGCAAAACGATATAGAATTAATCACAAAGTGCTCATTTATAATCCGCAGATTTTATAAAGTACAACGAAATAGAAAATTCATATAGCTTTAATGAAAGACGTACCTTTAGCTCTTTTTAGTCTACTATAACCTTCAATAGTGGATTATATTATTTTTCTCTATTCTGTAAAATACGAATTTTTAAATATAATTGTAACATAACATATTTCTCTTAATATCGTCTTGCGTCCTCAATATTCTGGTAAGTTTTTATGACGCAGACATAAGTTCCCAAGAAACTACACACTGTAACTGGTTTCAGAATGAAACCACACCAAGACACGCCAGTCGGGCTATTCAGCTCTGACATCTCATCCGAAAGGGGATCAAAATTCTATCCAATTTCTCATGTTTTCGAGGACTAAGTGAAAGGATGTACAGATGTGTTCGGTTGGTTTCGCGAATGGCCGAACCGCAGGGGAACACAGAGGTTTCGTGTTCCCTGGAAGTTGCCAATCGTTCGGTGGAATCTTCTCCCGGGAGAAGACGACAGTGCCTCGTGGTTATCAGTGACAGTCGTGTCAGCGGATAGCGGAGCCGGACGATTCGGATTTCAGCAGATGCCCCCCTGTTTCTTATTTAGCGATTACCACGTGACACATCTACTTCGACCGTCTCATCTCATATAGTTTATTACTCCTGACGCTTCAGGATAATTTTGGCATTCCTTTTTACTAATGTTCTTTCCGCCTGATACTATTTTTTATTTATGAAAAAAAAAATTGACCCGCCGCCGATTACAGCCGCCATATTGGTGATATCAGGCGTGACTAGTGGGGTTCGAAAATTGCTGTTGTAACGACAATTAAATAATTTAATCATTTATGCAATACGCATTTTTTTTTGTTTTTGGAACATTGAAATTAATGCTATGTATTATAATTTCGTTTTATATGGGTAGTGTTAATATTTAAGGAAATTTTAGTTGGAGTACTCAAATTTGTACTACTGTCAAATTATAATTTCCTTTCCATGTAGGAAATATCCACGTTTAAGGGAATTCTACTTCGAGCACCAAGTTTGTGCTTACTATTGAAAACAAATATTTATACGTTGAATTGGATAGAGGCCATTGGCGTAACTAGAATTTTTTTCTGGGGGGGTTGGGGGCAGCCCCCCTGACTTTCGTCCTCATTAGGCATCTGTACGTAATTTATACCACGTGTGTGGGTTGCACAAAATAAAGTTACACATTTTACAATAATTATTTACAAACTTGTTTAACACTAAAACCAAAAATAGGAGGATATGAATATAATTCTTAAAAAGAAAAGAAATTTGAGGTTTATTAAAATCAAGATTATATTATGTGCAGATACCTATAATTAAAATCTATCATATATAAGCTTCGATTTGCTGTTTTTTCTTCTGCAAAAATATTTTTCACATTCTCGAGCGCTAGTTCCCTCAATTGCATATGATCGTTCTATTGATGTTGCAGGATTATTAGTTAAGTAGAATGTAAAAGTTAAACAGCTTAAGTCTAATACAATTTTACTTAATACTTTAACGTAATGAGGGTAGTATTGTATTTTTTGTACTTGGTTGCTTTGCTTATTGCATTTCGGCCCAAGTATTTATTTTCTGTAACATAAGATTTTACCAACTGACGAATGTTTTTATTAACCAACACCCGTATAACACGGTGGTTAGGTTCCAAAAAATTGCGAATTCATGTTATACACGAAACTAAGAATTCGGACATACAGAAAACAAGGTTAGGCTCCAAAAACTAACGAAACTACACTATTCTACAGAATTCTCTGACCGTGGTAGTGCGAAATTGTGTTATTCGAGAGCTTCCCCAATTCTCTAACTGTGTTACAGCGAAACCGTGTCAGAACGAAACCGTGTTATGGGAATGTCGTGTTATACGGAGGTTGCTTGTATTTCCTCTTTGGATTATTACTCTGCTATAAATTACAGTTAGAAGATTATAAATTTCACCGTTTAGAAATTTAATGTTTTCTTCATATAATCATACGGAGCCTAATTCAAATTGAAATGTCATGTTAAATATACTATGGATCCAAGTCCTACATCCAGGTAATGGTGTTTCAGCGTTTGCTGGGTCGATCAATATTACTGTGCTAAAATAAGGGATGAAACATTCGCTTCAACCTAATAGCATTCGTCTAAAATTGTCACCAAATAGTCAAAGCGACACAGATTGTTGGAGTATCAAAAATATCACTTCCTGTCATCTGGAGTAAAATGCATAATACCACTTAAAGGTCTAGTATTAACTATAAATATTTACAAACAAAGTACCTATTGAAATACAATCCTCATTCCAGATCACATAGATCCCAGGAGAACAGCAGGGTTAACAAAGAACCAGACAGTAAGATGTTTTGAATTTAGACTACATTACCAGTTTATTAAAAGTAAATTGTGGATTATTTTTTGATTCACCTAGATAATAAAAAAAAAAAAATGGCAAGAATCGGTACAACGATCTCGACGAACAAGTTTCCAAGCAAAGGCAAGCGTCCTCTCTGTCCCATCATTATCACCAGCGTACTTCGCCAGAGTATTCGGCGCTCGAAGCCGATTTTTATCGTCGGCCCTGGGTACAATGGTGGGTTACACGATCGTGACGCCGTGATTTTTACGGAGACCGTGTAAGAGGATTCCACCGCGAGCCGGCTTATCGCGCGATATCACGGTCCGGGGATTCTTTTAAATCTCCCCTGTCCCCTCTTCGTGTTCGCCTACGTTCTGGTGTGCCCGTTAAATATTACCGGGGGAATAACTTCGCCGACCAGACGATATTTCATGCGAGGGCAGGTGGCGTTTCGCCAAAAGGAACGAGACAGGTATACATATATACAGGGTGTCCCAAAACAGCTACGACTCCTGGAAATGAGGGGTTCCTGTGATGATTTGAAACAACTTTTTCCTTAGCAAAAATATTATCCGAGGCTTTGTTAACGAGATGTTAATGAAAAACCAGGACCAATCAGAGTATGAGTCTGCCGGCCGAGCTTCCGCGGTCGCTTCGGCTACGCGTTGCGATTGGTCGTCAACGCTACAGCGGGAAATCGGCCGGCAGACTCACGGTCTGATTGGTCGGGGTTTTTGCTAAGGAAAAAGTTGTTTCAAACCGAAGGAAAGAGTCCATATTCAATTCTGTATTTTCTAACTTGTTAAAATATTTACAACATTACTTGTTACTATCGCCACAAAAGGCATGTATTTTGAATAAAGCAAAATATTTTTCCACAAAAGTTGCCTATGTTCTGTTACTTTTAAAAAAGTTCGGTCACTTCTGGGACGGGACCTTGTATTCGGGCTGACAGTAAGTAGAAACAGAATGCAACGAACAGACGCGTCAGCCACGTCCTATTCAATTGCACAAGTATTAAGCAAATTTTCAAATTCAATTATCTCGAAAACGAAGCATTATACGAAAAAATTTTATTCCACATTTTCGACTTATATTTGCATGTAGAATGGACCTCCTGACCGGTTGTACCCTCCGTCCCGCCCCACCCTGTATACACGAGACCAGACCCGCCGTCTCTCTTTATCGCGCCCTTTTCCCATCTCGCTCTTCGTTCCTCGTTCCTCCGCGTGCACGACCTAAACCCGTGGCGCGAGAGGTCCACGAACCTCCTCCGGGTTGGCCCGATCGGTCGTTACGGTACCCGCGGCAAGATACCAACGAATAAAGCAGCAGTTTCCATCTACTCACTATGTCGCCCGTCTCTCCTGGATAGCCCATCTCGCCGGAGATCCCGTACGGTCCTGGATAGCCCTGACGACAAAATTCAAGCGATTCAGCATTAGAACGGATTTAATCAATCCGGGACTAACCAACGAGAAATTCGTTGCAGTCCCTTGAGGAAAAGCATTTCCCTTGTGGCACTGCTAATCGATGCCTGTTAGATCGATGAGTATGAAATAGTGATTATTAGCAGGTAATTTATACAGGGTCCCGTTAATAACGTAAAAACGTATACTACGAGATTTCTTATTAAAAAATAACAAAAGTATGTAGAATAAAATTTTGCCATTCTCGGCTTAGTTCACGAGAAAATCGAATTTGAACATTAATCTGAACCGCGTGTATTAGGCATGATGGTAAGTAGAAACGGGATGCAATGACCAGACGCGCTAGCCAAATCCGGTTCAATTGTACGCGTATCCAGCAGATATTCAAAGTCGATTTTCTCGAAAATTAAGCTGAGAATGATCAAATTTTATTTTATATTGTTTTCTTATTTTTTTCGTAAGGAATCATGTAGTGCCAGTTTTTACATATTATTCGGCCAGACCCTGTATTTGGTTCGACTTTCTGGGAATTTTATGGAGGAAATTGAAAAGATAAGTTCTTAGATTGAGGTTTGTACAATTTCACCATTCGATATCAAGGGACTACATTTCAGACGTGAAATACAGTATGGGTTTAGGAGACTCCTGAACTTCTAGGTTATTTATTTATAAATACAGGAAACGCCAAAATTTGTGGTACGAATAAGGTCAGAGTAGTACGATTCAAAATGCGACAAAAATTAAGAATAGTAAAATCCCGGTAGAGGCTTCGTCTTCGAGAAAATCGAATTCGAAAATTAATCTGAAACGCGTGCATTCAACATGGTAGTAAGTAGAAATGGAATATAATGAACAGACGCGCGAGTCAGTCCTATTCAATTTCACGCGTATTCAGTAGATTTTCAAATTCAATTATTTCGAAAACGAAACGTCAAACGCAATTTCATTACTGTTGATTTTCTTCTTATTTTGAGTCGTACTATTTCACTGACCACTTTTATACTACGAATCTTGGCCCACCCTGTATACAAGACTGTTGTGAAATCTTTTTACTGATTCATTTCAGTTATACTGTATATGTGTGTCCTGAATAATGTATTAATTTCTTGCATTTAACTTAAATTGATGGCAGTACAGATCGGAGGAGAAGAAGAAAAATAGAATCAGCGAAGTTTCTGAGATTTTACCCCGGAACTAGAGGGTTGAATTTATTTCTAGAAAACTATTCATTCTAGTCTTTTTGTTGAAGAATATTCTGTACCGAAGTCGGGAATAAAGCTTCATGGAGTTTACCTTTGAGTTTGGCTTAAGATTTTCATCGTTTGTTTCAATTTATTATAAATGCTTTTAAGCACTTTTATTGGAAAAACATATATGTAGAGTCTCGTGAAAAGAACAAATGAATCTTAACATGCAAGTGGTGACTACTGTTGATAATTTTTTACTGATAATTATGTAACGAAATATTCCAATCAATAAAAGCAATATTTCGTGTGCAACGAACTAATATTTACCATTAAACAAAGTACAGTTGAACCTCGATTATCGGAAACGCCGATCACCCGAAATACCCAATTATCGAAGGAGAGAACGAGTCACGAATGTTTTAGAAAAGAATTGATTTTAGAAGTTGTATTTCCATATTAGGCGAGGCACGGGAAAGCATACCATTGATTACTCTTAAACGAACCTGAAGTAAATTATGCAACACTTTAATTAGGGATAGAATGTACTGCATTGGAAAACTAGGATTACGAGGATCTTTTAGAATGATTAGAAATGTGTACAGATAATTTGGGATACAAAATTATAAACGAAGATAATGTTGTTTCCTTTAATTTTGTTAAAGAAAATACTGATATACCTGGTCATTCACGAGAGTCTTCGTAGACCTCATAAAAAGGTCATTTCGATTAATATAAACAGTAATTTCGTGTAATATCATGTTTATTTCGTAACATATGAGGTGACATTATTTTATCACAATATCTATTAGTCTATAGAAATATTTTAACAAATAAGAAAAAACGAATATCACACAAGTGACCTTTATGTGGTGAATTATGAAGACTCTCATGAGCGAATGTATACAATAAAGAAATAGTGGGATTATGTATTATCCTTTTGAATTACGAAGCTGAAAATGCGTTAGGGGTTGTTTAAATATTCATTTGTATCATTGTACGATCTCCCATGTAATAAATATCCATCTTATGAAACCGTTTTATTTCCAAATTTTCTGGGCCAGTTGTTTAAGAAACTGTTCATCATGATAAATTGTTTCGACAATCGGCGTTCTACCGTACTCTATTCAAATGCAGCAATTCTTGTTAACGCTATCGATACGTGACAATTATTACAAAATTATTAGATATTTACGTTGATTTCAAATGCTTCGGACTATGTTCTAAAAACGAAGACGAAAATGTTCGATATCCCGCTATCAATGTCACGAAGTATAAAAAATGACAGAAGCCACATCAAGTTCCAACAAAAGTTTCCAATTTCCAGTTCAAACTCTTGAAAAACCGGGCCCCCTTAACGTCGTTCGGGCGGACGAAGAAATTTCACCGTAGTCACCGCACACGTTCCACTGATATTCCCGTCACGTTCCGTACCTACTACCATCGGGGCGAAACACTGTTTTCCCTTCATAGCCACGTGTCCGACAGTTTCCGTTCGAGCGGCTTCTCTCTCGGCATTCATCCACGGCGACACGATTCGGTCCGCCCGATTTATCCGCAGAGGGACCGCGATCCCTCACGTAAGGAACAACAATTTTCCACTTGTACACCGGAGAAACACCTCACAGCTACGCGTACAACAAGGAGACAGGAGGTGGACGGTTCACGGGGCGATTCAAATTCCGGGAACCCGATCGAATCACGATTGAACGCACAGATATAGACGAATTCTAATCACGGGCACTGATTTGCACGCTTACTGAATTCGCAATGAACCCGTTTGAAATTGTGCGGTGGACTGGCACCCGTTAAAAGTTAATACATTGTGGATACAATAGAAGTCGGTTTCAAATTCATATTTTTATATACAGGGTGAACCACGAATTGTGATCAGTAGAGATTACTCTGTTATTAGCAGTCCGATCGAAAATGTTTTTATCCGGTATAACATGGTTTCAAGAGAGCTTTAACGTGATTGTAGCAAACTTTTTATCAACTTTTTTTTTTCATGATTTTTTAAGGTCACCTTCAATTTTTTGCAAATACACCTATAATTTTTTGACGCCTATCTGTTAGAGGATTTCAAGACTAATTCGGTAAGTCTCATAACATAACATGTGTTAGTCGTAAAAAAATTGTAGGTGTATTTGCAAAAAATCGAAGGTGAAAAATCATGAAAAAAAGAGTTGACAAAAAATTTGCTATAATCACGTTAAAACTCTCTTGGAACCATGCTATATCTGATAAAAACATTTTGTAACATTTTATATACTGATCACGATTCGTGGTTCACCTTGTATAGTGTGCTTCATTTCTCTGGAGAATCATATAAAATTGTGGAGGAAAGGATTAATCTGTTGGGTATCGATCTAATTTGAAATTTTCCACACGGATGCGATTTAATTAGTTTCTGCGTGTTCAAACATTAACTTATTACACTCTGGCTCTGGGGTCCAGGTATACATTCGACGATCTATGACTTAAAAAACGAAATGAAGCGTGTCTAGCTACGTACGGCCTTTTCCACTGTGGCAGTCAATGTGTTAATATTTTCGAGGGTCAGGTTTCTAATTAGTACTTTCTTTAATGGTATAATGGCGGAAAGTACTTAATGATATGATTTAATCCGAAGAAATGTTTTTTTTGTTACCTCGGGTCCGTCGACACCTGGTGTACCACGGATACCCTTGACGCCGATGGAGTTGATACCACCGTCACCGGGTTCACCAGTTGTGCATTCCTGGTGCACCGGCACGTCCGTCGGTACCGTTGCACCCGTCCAGACCGTCCGGTCCCGTCACACCGGGTATTCCAGGGTTGCCCTGCAGGCGAGGACTTAATTATTCTCGGTCCATTTTTCAATATTTTCTGAACCTTTTTTCCTCAGGGCTATATTATTGGGAGAATTGCGCGAGTCTTTGATGGTAGAACGTGGAATGTAAAGGCACTTGTGTGCTGGTTAAATAGGAATGATAAATTAACCCTTAACCCTTTCATTCCCACTGTTGCCATATGACTACGTATTTTAAATTAGGAAATAAAATATTAGTATCATGAATTTTTTCATATCTGTGAGTACATGATAGTTTCATAGTTAGTTAAATTGACATTATTTGACTTGTGACTTTTTCCTTAAGGGGAGATCGATATGTCTGTATATACAGTGACTCATAAATTTGTTTATAGAAGGCTGACACATTTATTTGATCGAATTACGTACCAGATAGCGAATTTTATTACAATAACATTAAGGGAAATTTATCATAAAAATATGATAAAAGTAAGGATAATGAGGATACAGTTATTACATAAATAGAAGTTGCATGAAAATTTGTGCACTTAATCGTTGGTTTCAAAACATATGAACGAATATGCGAGTCATTGTATAAACGTATTATTTTTAAATCATTTTTCTTTTCAGTGTGTAATAGACATAATTCATTAGAGGTAGAATTAAATTTCTGTGAGGTATAGTTTGCGAAACATTTTAGATCCAATGTAATTTCATGGTTTTCAAAATTCTGACGGCGTACAACGTCGAAACTCAAAAACTGAAATGACGCTTGAATTTCAACAGTTGAAACTCGCGGAACAAAGTTTCATTGGAATAGAGATTTGTACGAACCGAGAGTCCTGGAGCTCCGGGAAATCCTTGTATGCCTTGATCACCCTGGAAAGGAAACAGAGATTAGATGCATGGAATACGTAATTGTTTACATATTCTTGACACATTCATAATTATTGATTTAATATAAAAATTGATGAGCAGTGGGAGACCACTTTACGATTACTCTTATTTTAATCATATTCTGAAATTGTTGACAGTTATAAGTAAACATGAAAATTTTATGCAAATTTTCAACTTCATAAATTATTTTATACATCAGCTTCGAAGAAAAATTCGTTTCACCACTCAGGTTTCTAGCGTTTAGTAACCGTCGTTAAAATGCCTAAAAAAATGATGATTTTATAGTAAGAACGTTTATTTACTAGATAATTTATGTTCCTGCAACTATTGTTAGTTTAAGAGCACTCTACTTTTTATCAGTAGACTCCAGATCGTTCTGTAAATTTGGATTCTTATAATAAATTTAATAATAAATAAACGTTTATGCAAACATAGCAATTTTTTTACTCCATTAAGGATTCTTTTACATTCGCATTAAGCTGCATTAAACGGTTATTAACTATATTGAATTTTCAATAATTTCAAATATAACCATGGAACTACAGATATTTAAACAGATACCAGTTTTCACGTACTGTTTCACAAAAGTAAAATCAAGGAAAAATTCCCTTCATGAAGCAAGAAATTTGTTAATTTAAAAGCAAAATAAAAGTTTAACTAATCCTGATTCACTACGTTCAGCTGATAGAATTTTAACCCTCGTACATTATTCAACAAACTATTGCATTACCATTCCTTGAGGCAAATTAAGCCTGAATGAAAATCCATTTGAATATATTTGCCTATTTTAATATCGCAAAATCTGAAGAAGCAGCGTAAAAAAATATATTGAAATTAATTTACGAAATTTCAATAATAAAAGATATAATTAAAATCAAGCATTAACTTCGGGTCAAATTGAAGAGAGTTAAGTAACAATGTGTTCTATCACACATAAATTCCGCAGTGTACTCATCATTAACAGCTTCTCCGAAGATAGGCTCGGTCATTTGTAAAAATAACTGTATGTTGCATGGTTACGTGACCGCCGCCTACTGCATTTGTTTAAATATGGTCCATCGCAAGAACGATTATCACATCGCACACCCTCGATTCGCTGGAAGGCCATCTAATCAGCATTGCAATAGTAATCAACATTCGAACGCTTCCTGATATCGGGGCTGCTGGTAAAATCGCGGAAAACCGGCCATCAGCTGGACGCGATTTCGTTCTGCATAAAACAAAGTGCGTCGTTAGCAATTGCCTATTGCACTCAATTGCCGCTCGGCAAAGAGTGCAATATAATTGTAACGGCTCGCGTCACGACCACAAACGCGACTCGTACCAGTTTTTCGAGACCACAAAATTGCATTTTGCGTACCTACGCCATTTACGACCGTGTAATTAGATGCCTCCGACAGAATATGTTAACAATACCAAAACACCCTCTAGCACTTTGTACATCGATATGTTTACTGTCAAAGCGTGAAATTTAGTATTTTCAGTAACCTCAATACCATACGTTACCGATCAGAAGTATTTGTCTATTGACGTTTGATTCGATTCGCTGAAAATTGTGACAAAGAACGATAAAGCAAAGAAACTTTATAATTGTTTATTGAAATGTCCCAAAACATCCCCGTACAGGTGACATACGGAATACACCGCCCGTGTTCTTAACCCCTTGCCTCATAACATCGAGTCAGACTTGTGATAACGATTTTAAACTGAATTTCGTAAACCTGTATATTATTCGTTTTCTCTGAGTCGACGTGAAATACGGTTCCGCTGGTGTATTAATATTTAAGGTTTCATATAAGCGAAATAAGTAAAAGAAATCGTATGGCAAGTTATAAAGAGTTAATAACTGATTAATAAATAAGATAATAAACTTCGTACAAAAATCACATCGAAAATTGCAGTCTGAACGACAACAGCCACAGTCCCCTAACCCCATTAAAGCCTTTAAGGCGGTATTCACTGCCTGTGACGTCTTCCTGGAAGATTGTGGGGGGTGCAAATAGCAGCTCGTTACGCAGACTGCCTCTCCGCCAGACGAGGGAACGTAAATGTCGCGTGAAAAGCCGCGAAAAACCCCCTCGACGCCTGTCGTAAACCCTGTTTATCCCGAGTCCTTCCTCCCCCATTGATGGAAATTAACGCAAACATCGGGGCTGCTTTTTCTTCGCGTGAAGAAACTTCCGGTTTCGGAACGAGGGAAGGTTTTGTTTACGGAGATCCGACATCTTCTCGACACACGTGGAACCGAAGAGGACACACCGTTTACGGTGCGGTTAATTAACCACGGGCTTGCGTCTTAATTATGCTGGTAATATTCGAGGGAACGAAGTAACCGCCGGAATTGCAGGTATGCAAATTACTTAGCGCGAATCCAGTCGTCGAGTGGACTACTTTCTACCCGACTTCTTTTTCCTTTCTTTTTTCCTGTTCGGGTTATTTTTTCGCCTTGTTTTCGTTTCTCATCGGGGAATAATACTTTGGTCACTGTGCTTCGTCATATACGGCATTTTATATACAGTAATTATTTTTATGGCGGAGGATTGTTTTTCCTCGTATTTGTCGCATTTTGGATGCAAATGTTTGCGTTGTTTACGGAACGTGTGTGTGTGTGTGTGTGTGTGTTGTGAAATGGAGAAACTTGCGTATTTCTTGGGATTTCGTGAGCTTCTAGGAAGATGTGTGTCCTAAAGTGTTGTCGAGAGACTGTGTCGAAGGACAGTTTCTGCTATGTTTGAGCTCCCTTATCAACCCTTAGAATGTTCCATGACATTTTTCAGTATTGCCGACGATTTATGTAAACAAATTGTAAATTGCAAATAAGAGAATAGAAAACAGAACAATTTCGGTTTTCCAAAATAGTTATGTTTATGATTAAACGAAATAATAATTCTATATTAATTAATATTTCTTCTAATTTCTATGATACAATAGTAAATAACAAAAAATACTTCAAATTAATTTCTCGTTAGAATTTGGATTTTCGGGAGAATATTAGACTTGTGTAACTAATAAAAATTTCGAATATGTAATGCATTGCGAACATTTTTTAATTGAATTTAAAAAATGTTTAAACTCAGGACGACCAAAGTTTAACTAATAAAAAATATACGTAAAAACTAGTAGAATTTTCATTGTATTTTTCATGTTCGTAAATTATTCGAAATATTGACTCTTGCATTCATTCTATTACTCGTTTCTGAAATCGTGCGAAAACTACAATATATTAAAAGTTTCTGTAGTCTCGTGAAATCTTAAATTGTAGTGGAAAATTCTTAGCCTCGTGAGATCATCTTCCGTCACGCTGTACGCACTTATCTCGACCGCGATTACGCACACGAATCTCAGCTTTAAAACACGCTTAAAAAAGGAGCAGCTTTATCAGTTAACCTGTTGCACAACTTCCAAGAAACGTGCCCGATCGAGAACATTATGCCACAAGTATCGAAAATAATTGCGTGTTACTCTGTCGCGTAATGCCGCGAAACTTCATTGTAGAATAACATTTTGAAATATCTTATCCCGAATACACAAATATACATATTGTTTTCTTAATTATTACGGAAGCTTATGCAAATTCAAAATTTCTGGCCTTAACAATTACCCATAAAACTTCCACTTGAAATAAATATAAGAAAACTAGTCCAAATTTTATTTCTATGCACTGCTTCTGTCAATTGACGTCAACTAACACTAAGTAATTCTTCTTCAGAATCTTTATTTTTTCAGGTTTAGAGTCGCATCGTACACACAAAAAAAAAAAATAAATACTTTAATATTATGCGTTGATACCGGTCACTTTACGCGAAACAACCGGATTCCCTCCAATTTCACGTGCATTTAAATTAGATTTCATTCATTACGAAGGTGGGAAAGATAGTGGAATAATTCATGCGACACCCAAAATTACACAACGATAAGGGTTGTAAATTTCGAAAAAAAAACCCTATTTCGACCAGTAACAACGCGTGGCAGGAACGGAATCGTTCTCGGAACGCATACACTCGCGGAAATTTATAAACGGGAGTTAACGAGCCTGTATTTCAAACTTTAATTATATCCGTCAGCCGAATTGATGAACTACGCGCGATTCTACGCGCGCGTGGAAATTCCGTGGGTTAGCGCGGGGTGCCAGCCGCGTGTTCAGCGAAACGGTTAATCGCTCCTTATTTACAATCGTTAAAGTGAAAAATTACAAAGCGGCCTACCGATTCCCCCTGGGGATTATTTACGCCTCGGCGACGATTTATCTTAGTTATTTATCTTAATTGCCCGCGGTCGAAACGGTCCTACGACGAAATTATCGGCGAAGGAAAGTGACCGATCCCGTAACTCTGCGACGAGGATCGAGGCCGAAACTGCCGAAAGCAGCATAATCGGGTCAGATACGATGCATTCGACAGCCACCATAACGAATATACAGGGTGTTCCAGTTTTTTCCATAAAACTTTACCAACATTGTTTATAAGCAAAATTATGTAACTCACGTTAAACCAGCCCGCCTCAAACGATCAATTTTTATGTTTTGCGTAAGGTAAGCTTGAATGTGATTATACGTACAGAAACATGTGTTAATGGACAAATTTTTTTTTAAAATATAAGTCAATTTTTTCTCAAATATATAGATTTGTACTTAACTAAAGGGTACAAAGATTGGCAATCAGTTGATTACGTAGACGAACGGAGGAGTAGACATAAGGGGAATCAACGTGAACGATTATTGTCCTTGATAAATTCATAGAACCGCAAACCATTTGTAATTGAACGATATTTCAGCGGCCTTTACGAGAGCTGTGCAACGCTTTACTAATTATGACTGGGCAAACGGGCGGCAAGCGCTGAAATATTAGCGTCCACGGTATTGAGCCGAATATCCACGTCGAGCGGACGATTTTGGCGCGTTATTGGCAGCACTGCGTTCGCCGAATGTTTAATTAACAGGATCACATGGATTACCGAGCGTTAAAGACACGAGAACGTAATTC